CGATACTCTGCCACTCTACCACTCTCCTGGCGGGTGGCGCTCCAGAACCACCTCTGCCACTGCCAGGGAGAAGACTCCCCCAGCTGACTCACCGGATTGGGCGGGAGGGCGCACGCAAGGCTGAGCAGCGCAAGGCTGAGCAGCGCCACAGGAGGAGGAGGAGGAGGAGGAGGAGGAGGAGGAGGAGGAGGAGGAGGAGGAGGAGGCGGAAGCGGAGATAAGGAGGAGGCGGAGACAAGGAGGAGGAGGAGGAGGAGGAGGAGGAGACGGATGAGGAGGAGGAGGATAAGGAGGGAGAACGGGCGCAAGCAGCTCCTCGCGACTGGCACGATGGCCTCGCCCGTGGCGCCACTGCGGCTCCAGCATACCCTGGAGCGTACCCAAGGCGTCCCTGGGTGGGGCGCGCGGCGGGCCTTCATGTGGCGGGTGGACTCCTGGCGCAGGTCCTCGGGGCGCCCACTCTGGCGGCGAGCGAGGGGGGGAGGTGAGGAGGAGAAGGCCTCCTCTAGAAGAGCGCGTTCCACTAATCGCAAAATAACTACTCGCAAATGGCCTGGATCCGCCGCGGGGGATCTGCGGACATGTCGCCGAAACAAAGATATGGTTTTCGGACGTTTGCGAGTAGGCACTTTGCGAGTAGTGGAACGCGCTCGGTGATTCTCAGAAGGCGGCGGGACTTCTCAGAAGCCCTCGCGCCTCCCGAGAAGTCCTCTGCGTCCTCGGGGAAGGCCCAGAAGAACGCTTCCCAGCAGAAGCCCGGGGGGGCTCACGAGCCTGCCGGGAAGCCCGCCACTTTCCTACTCCTCCTCCTCCTCCTCCTCCTCCGCCTCCTCCTCTTCCTCCTCCGCCTCCTCCTCCTCCTCCTCCTCCTCCGCCTCCTCCTCCGCCTCCTCCTCCGCCTCCTCCTCTTCCTCCTCCTCCTCCTCCTCCTCAGAGGGCCCGCCCCCTCTCTCACGTCCCCCCTCCGCTCGCCGCCGGCCGCGCCCACCCGCGGCAGGGGCCGCGCGCAGCACGCCGGGCGGCAGCGGCCGCACGTCGCGGACGCAGCCCAGCGGCAGCCAAGCTCGAAGTGCTCCCTCCTCCTCCTCCTCCTCCTCCTCCTCCTCCTCCTCCTCCTCCACTTCCGTGGGGGTGCGGCAGCTTGGGTGACCCCAAAGGGGGTCCAGCCGTCAAGGGGTGGTGCAGCAGATTGGGGGCAAGTGGACTGCCAGCGCACTGAGGCCGGAGGATTGTACTGCAGCGTATTGCAAGCGATGCATTGCACGCGAGGTTCCAGCAGTACATTGGCGCCCCGGAATGTATTGCACGCCCCCAATGTATATATTGCAACCCCGCAAATCTATTGCACCAGATCTACTGCACCAACCCCTTGTCGATGAACCCCCTTTTGGGTCAACCCGAGGCAGGCACGTGCGAACACAAGTGCTGCAAAACGATGTGTTGGGGAATGTCGTTCGTCGATCTTTTAAGTGTCCTGCGGGGTCTTGGAGCTCCTGTGGATCCCTGGGGCCATCGGAGGGCTCAGAAGTTTCAGTGGGGCACCTGCTCGCAGGCCGACGCCTTCTTTGGTGTGCAGGCTGCATGGCCCCCGAAAGCCCGGGCAGACTGCTGCCAACAGGTCTCTCTGCTCGCATCTTCCACATCCACTGGCCCTGGCCTCGCGAAGGCAGCGTGATGGCGTGAGGAAATAGAGGGCTCCCGGGTGGGGCCCGAGCAAATGGGGTCGGCGGACCGCGCCTCATCACCAGTGCATCGCCGATGCATCGGCGATGCATCGGCGATGCACCGGCGATGCATCGTCGACGTGGGCGATGCATCGGCGACGTCGACGTGGAGCAAATCGGCCTCCACATCGAGCCGCATCGCCGATGCATCGGCGATGCGGCGCAATCCTCCGACCCCATCCACTCGGACCACGCCTAGGAGGCCTAGAGGACATCACCTGGAGCCCCGACAGCTAGCATGTACCATGCAGTGTAGTAGATTCGGCCCAAATCCTAGAATGGGCCCTGACAACGGCAGAACCTTTTAACACCGTTTCCGAAATTCTCGATCTTGACTGTACGCTCACCGTAATGACCAAACACGCGCCGGACACGGAACAAGAATCGGAATCGACCAAAAAACGACTGAACCAGAAACGAAACGGAAAAATGGAACCCAATGGCCCTTCCGCTTTCCAAAGCCCACTGAGACTCAGACCCCCTCAGCAGGAATCGAGGCCGACACCCTGACACCCGTCAACGCGCGGCCCCAGAGGTCCCGATCCCTTCCCGGGGGGGCAGTCTGTCGCCTCGGATCACTCTTCGATGGCCCCGGGCCCCGATGTATAACAGGCCCTGGAGGCCGACATCGAGGGAACGCCGCCGGCTACGAAAATCAGATCGCCGGACATCCGGGGCTGAAGTGAAGTCGGGCCATGCCCCTCTACAGGAGGAGTACCACATAATAGTCAAACAATCGTCTGGGAACGATGTTTCGATCACCTTCTGACTGTGTTCTGAAAATGTCTTGATACTTTCCGCTTTTCTCCCAAAATCCGCATGTAGGAGGACATGCCCGACCCGTAGGTCGGATCTGATCCCCTACAGGGTGGGCGAAAACCTGAAAATATCCGGGAACAAATTCCAACAACATTCAAACCTAGTTTTTTTTTAAACGTGTTCTTCTGATTTGTTTTTGTTGAATGTCCCTCCTGTCGAGAGGCAGGCCCGACCCAAGGCTGGATATCTGGGGCCATGCGCCGTCCGGACACCCTACGGGAGAAAGACGAGGCGGAGAGGCGTGCGCCCGTCCGCGCATCCGCACTTCCTGGGCGGGGTGGGCTGCGGCCCCTGTCGTTAGGTCGGGCCTGTCCTCCTGCAGGCGGATTGTGGGCGAAAGACGAAAAGCAGTCAGGGAAATCAAACAGAGCAGAAACAAATCAAACAGATCGTCACCCGACTGTTTTGCCCTACTCTTGAATCTTCCTCCTGTAGATCGGCATGCCCGACTGAACCCTCTTGGTGCATCAATGGGCGATGGGGTCGATGCAAGCTCACGTTGATCGGAGGAGGGCCAGTTGAGACAGAGGCGACTCTCCCGCCTGGCCCCAGATCCGTTCAGGCTCGGCCCCCGGATCCCTCCCGGCGTCCATCCTGACCCTTTTTGTTCCGAAAAGGATCCGGCCGCGCCTTTTTCGTTACGAAAAGGAGCTTCCAGGAGGCCCTCAAAAGAGGACGAAGAACGCCAAGGAGGGCCGCCGTTGCCTTGATTGGAGGCCTCCCATATTGGGTCGGAGCAGATGGGGTCGCAGGATCGCGCCGCATCGCCGATACATCGGCGATGCGTCGGCGATGCATCGGCCATGCATCGGGGATGCACCGGCGATGTATCGTCGACGTCGACGATGCATCGGCGACGTCGACGCGAAGCAAATCGGGCTGCACACCGAGCCGCATCGGCGATGCATCGGCGATGCGGCGCCATCCCCCGACCCCATCTAATCCGACGAGTAGCTTCCAGGAGGCCCTCAAAAGAGGACGACGAACGCCAAGGAGGGCCGCCGTTGCCTTGACTGGCCCCACCTTGCCCGGAAGGCCCGCGCTCTCCGTCGAGCCTGCCCCCCCGCAGCGAGGACAAAGAACGCAAAGGAGGGCAGCCGAGGCCTCGACTGGCCCCACCTTGCCCGGAAGGCCCGCGCTCTCCATCGAGCCTGCCCCCTGCAGCAGACCTCGAGGCGGAGAGGCGCACCCTTAGGTCGGGCCTGTCCCCCTACAGGGGGATTTTGCACCAAAATAAAACAATAGCCAAAAAATGCCCAAAACAGATTCAAGAATAGTGACGATAATCGTCGCCATATCATTTTTCGACTATTATTGCATATCCCTCCTGTAGAGGGACAGGCCCGAATTAAGCCTACCCCCTGCAGCATACCTCGAGGCGGAGAGGCGCACGCCTGCGCACCTGCGCCGCGGGGCCTGCCTGCCCGCCGGCCTGCCCGAGAGTGAAAGGGGCCCTGGGACACACACACATGAATGTATACAAACAGCAGGATTGCCCGTAGCATCCAATAGTTTCGACTCACTTCCCTGATTCTCTTGGGAAGCGACGATTCCTTGCGTCTGTGTGTTTCCCCCCCCTCCCCCCGAGAGAGGGGGGGGCCCGGCCGCGGCGGCGGGTCCAGGGGCGCCAGGTTCAGGCCGAAGGCCCGCACTTGCCTCTCGGGCCGCGGGCGGGCGGCGTGCGCGCGGCGGCTGCGCGGCGGCTGCAGAGAGGGCGGCGCTCGAGTGCAGCGGGTCGGCACGGAGCTCCGCACGCAGGCTGAAAGCACAGAGGCCTGGCGGGATGCGGCCGCCAAGGCGTGGGCAGACACGTGCCGAGCCGGCACGCAGCGGGGTCACACGGACGCTTTGAACACAGCACGCCGTGCGTTTCAGCACGGGCGCATCGGGGCACCCTACAGGCGGGTGTTGGACGAAAAAGAACGGATCCTCGCACAAAGGCACTAAAACAGCCAACACAATAATCAAACCATCTTCCCCAGACTATGTTTTGACGTATGTTTTTGAATATAGCTCCTGTAGGGAGACAGGCCCGACTTAAAAACAACGTCTAACCGATCCCCATCCCCGCTGGTGCGGCCCGGACCCCTCTGGCTGATGTACAGTGCGGGCGCGGCCGCAAGAAACCCTCGCAAGAAACCCAACCCTGAGATGAGAATCCGTGCGCGAGGTGCACCTGAGGGGAAACCTGGAGCACCCTGAACGCAGCAGCTTCTTCAACGGCTGCGGGAAGTCACCGCGCAGCGCGAGGAGCGAAGAAACCCTGGATACCCTGACGAAAAGCATACGGTTTCTTGATGCGCGCCCCCACTGTACACCCCTGGATGGGGACGCGGGCTGTTCCCGCCGGGCTTCGAGGGGCCAATGCCCGACGTCAGCGGCGAGCGAGGGGGGGAAGTGAGGAGGCGGCCTTGTCAGAACGCCGCGCGGCTTCTCAGGAGCTCTCTGCCGCTCTGGAGGGTTTTCTGTGTCATCGTGGAAAGCTTGTAAGTATCGTTTAACCGATCCCCATCCTCAGCGGCGTGGCCTTAGGAGGCTGCTTCTCAGAGGGCGCGGGCATTCCGTCCATCCAGACAAGGCCCGCGCCTTCTGAGGAGCAGGGGTACGTCTGAGAAGCATTCCCCCTCCCCCCTCCCCCCTGAGCCCCACTGGCCGATTTACCCCCCTAGATGGGGATATAGGTCGTTCCCTGCGGGTTTCGAGGAGTGCATCCCCAACTGGGGTGGTAATCTGGTGAGGGTCTCGAAGGGGATGGGGATGGGATGGGGATCGGTTGAACGATACCGAAGCTTAAAAACAACGTCTCAGAGGGCCGGGAGACTCCCCAGCCTTCGGAGAAGGCCCGCCCCTCCTCGCTTCGCCCCTGGGCTCGCCGCCAGCAGCTCGAGTGGTGGCATTGTGGGGCCAAGGAACCACTGCGTGGTGGGGATTGCAATGCCATGGGACGCACAGAGACATACTAATACTATGTGTCCTCCTTGGAGGCGCGCGTCCGACCCGAATATGTAGTATACCCATCTTGCAGTATATCGTTTCCCGAGCGGTGTGGCCAGAAAGCGCACGCCACGACGCATATACTATAAGATTTCTCGGTGCGCGCGTCGCCCCTGGGGGGGCGACGCACATATAGTATAAGTATGTTGGGGTGTTGCCGATGCCATTCAACAACGCTGTTGCAAGCCCCCAAATTTGGGGAGACCATAAGGCACCGATGCCGCTACTCACCGGACCTCTCCCGGGGTGCGTTCTGACCAGGGCTTCGAGGCGGATGCAGCGGTGGCGACGAGGGCCTCCCAGGAGGCCCAAAAAGAGGAAAACGGGCGAGGCGTTAGAGGTATGGGCACGTTTTTCCTCCTCCAAAGGTCAGGAACGAAGAAGAAACAGCCACAACCACCAGGCAAAGGATCTGAGGGTCTCCTGGCGGTGATGACTTGCGCGCGGCGCTCGGCTTCGAGTTGCGCGCGGGACAGCACCGTTGGCGGGTCGGGGTCGGCCTCGGAAAGGGTGACCGGGGCGATTTCACCAGCCCGGCAGTTTTGACTGTCTCGTCTTCGCCCATGTCCACTGCGATGCTGTCAGAAGACCCCATCAGGCCGACAACGTGCTGATCAATAACGAGACCTACTCGTTTCTCAGTTCTCAGCCTCCTGGCGCCGACTGCGGGCTCAAAGGCCGCACACGTAAAATACTATGCGGGACGCAAACCGGGCCCCCGGGAAGGGGTTCAGAGATCCATGCGCGCGTATTGAACATACCCAGGGAGGTACCCAACCAAACTTCAACAACACAGCTGTATGAGGCGACGCCAGCGGAAGCATGACTGCTGGCACAAAACGTAACTCCTCTGTGCCTCCAGGGGCTCACGCAATTGGCGGCAGTCGCACGAGTGGAAGCAACCAAGGGAAGGGACCTCGAATAGTCTGGATCCGTTTAGCACCGCGCTCTTCTGAACCTCAAAAAATGTACCGACGGCTGTGAAAGTAGCAGCGTCTGGGGTGGGTGGTACGTACTACTTGAATAGCCGCGAACGGCCGCGCTCCGCTGGACATCCCATGACCTCCCGAAAGTGCCGCCGGCATTTGCGCAGCTAGCATCGCCCAGGTATGGGGGCAGAGAATTTGAAATTGCGAAGAACTGCGCTCCACTGGACTTTACAAGACCTCGCGGCAGCGCCGTCATCTGCGCAACTGGCAATGTCCATGTAAGGGGGTAGTAAGTGGCATTCGCGTAGGTCGGCACTCCGCTGGGCCTCCTAGGAACTCCGGAGAGTGCAGACAATTGCGCAGCTGTCAGCGCTTAGGGGGTGGACAGAGAGGAAGAAACGCACAGGAATCGAGGAGGCGGCAAGCAATGAGGGGGGGCGGGAGGCGGCAGCGAAGAGGAGGTGAGGCGGGAGGAAGGACCAGGAGCAGCGCGAGCAAGCAAGCCAGCAAGCGAGCCTGGCGCCTCGACGGGCAATTGGAGCTGAGGCGCCTCCTTCAACTCACAGCTTCGTCAGGGCAGCGCTGCGTACACGCTGGGAGTCCACTGCCGTTTGGGCCTCCCGCGCGCACGGCTCTCGTCCCAGACTCGAGGCCTATATTCGACATGGCTTTGCACGTGAGCCTGCGCAGTGGATGGTCCTCAGGAGGAGCGGCGATTCCCTTGTAGAGCTTCTTCTGGCGCTCGAGCAAATCCTTACTTAGATCATGCTCGCCGGACTGCTCCAAGACGCTGCGGTTCGGAACGCTGGAGACATGAGCGCACGGAATGCGACATAGTTCCCTCAGGAAAGAATTTAGCCTGTCCCTGTCGGCCTGAACGGCCCAAACACAATCCAAATTGCACAGCAGCTTCGGCACAACGACCGCCTGGTACAATTTTACACCAACGTCTCACTCGATCGGTCTCACTATCGATCTCACGATCGATCTCACTATTGGTCTCGCTCAACAGATCTCACTCGATCGATCTCACAATCGGTCTCACTCGATCTATTTCACTCGATCGATCTCACAATCGATCTGACTATCGATCTCACAATCGATCTGACTATCGATCTCACTATCGATCTCACAATCGATCTCAACTTCGGTGTCACTATCGATGTCACGATCGATATCACAATCGATCTCACAATCAACGTCATCATCATCATCATCATCATCATCATCATCATCATCATCATCATCATCATCATCATCGGGGCACCATCATCTTCACCACCATGACCATCATCATCAACATCATCATCAACATCGTCATCATCGGGACACCATCATCATCATCACCTCATCACCATCATCATTAACATCATCATCAACATTATCATCACCGGGACACCATCATCGTCACCATCATCATCATCATCAACATCATCAACATCGGGACACCATCATCATCATCAGCATCGGAACACCACCATCATCATCATCCCATGATCATGAACAACGTCATCAAAATCATCATCATTGAGACACCATCATCATTATCAACATCAGAATCGCTAATAACATCATCATCATCATCATCATCATCATCATCATCATCATCATCATCATCATCATCGGGACACCATCATCATCGTCATCATCAACATCAGCATCACCATCATCATCATCATCATCATCATCATCATCATCATCATCATCGGGACACCATCATCATCGTCATCATCAACATCAGCATCACCATCATCATTGGGACACCACCACCATCAACATCAGCATCAGCATCGGGCCACCATCATCGAAATCATCATCACTTCATCATCATCCTCATCATCAACATCTTGATCATCGGGACACCATTATCGTCATCACCAGAATCATCAACATCATCATCATCATCACCATCATCATCGGGACACCATCATCATCATCGTCACCATCAGCATCAACAACATCATCTCATCCTCATCATCACCACCATCACCGGGAAACCATCATCATCATCATGATCATCATCATCATGTTCATAATCACCAACATCATCAACACCTCATCATCATCAACATCATCATGATCATCACCACCGTCATCATCGGGACACCATCATCATGAACAACATCAGCATCATCATCATCGGTACACCATCATCATCACCACCATGGCCATCATCATCACCATCGTCATCATTAGCAACATCGTCAACATCATCAACACCATCATCATCGGGACACCATCATCTTCACCACCATCACCATCACCATCAGCATCACCATCACCATCAGCAACATCATCATCATCATCATCATCATCATCATCATCATCATCATCATCATCATCATCATCATCATCATCATCATCATCATCATCATCATCATCGGGACACCGACGGGAAACCGGCGGGACACCGGCGGGACACCGCAGGCCAGCGGCCCCCGGAAAAGAATCATTTGGTTCGGCCGCGCCTCAGCCGGAGGTGGGACACCGGCGGGACACCGCGGGCCACCGGCCCCCGGAAAGGAATCATTTGGTCCGGCCGCGCCTCAGCTGGAGGCGGGACACCGGCGGGACACCGCGGGCCACCGGCCCCAGGAAAAGAATCATTTGGTCCAGCCGCGCCTCAGCCGGAGGACATATTTTGTTCTCGCCCGCCCACGCAGCTTCGCCTCGCCCGCACGCACGGCACAACACAAAACCGAAACCGATTTCCCGGTAGGGGGGCTCTCCGTGTCCGTTCCACTTCGATCTCACCCCCTCACCTCCGAAATAAATATATATATATATATGCATACATATCTATATGCTCAAAAAATCAGACAATGCTTAACGAATCAACGAGACTCAAATATGCTGAACAACCAAACCTAAAACATCGTCCCCAGACTATTTTTTACTATTTTTGAATATTCCCCCTGTGCAAGCCCGACTTTACACTGGGAGGTCGATGCAGCATGCGATCTGCCGGGAGGCTGGACGCTCGTGTCAGGTCGGGCAGGCCCTCCTAGAGGCGAATCCTGGAGGAAGAATCAGCAGGTAGCTAAACACACTGCAAGAGAAGTCGGAGGTGTGCGAACCATCGTCCCCTGACTGTTTTTGAAGATCACTCCTTTAGAAGGGCAAGCCCGACTTACAACAGGAGGTCGATGAACGATCTTCTGACCCGGGTCAATCCAGACCCGGGTCAGCAGGAAACCAAAAAACTGCAATGCAGGAAAAAAACTGCAACGCAAGTCTTCGCAAATCCGGGTCAGCCAATATGCGCGGCCGCCTCGCGGCCACGAGCGGCTCGCTAACCCGGGTCAGCCAGAGGGGGTCTTCGCAGGATTCTGCAGGATCCGGTGCCCTGGCTGACCCCCGTTTGAATTGACCCCCGTCTCTTGAGCCCCGAGTCGATGCACCATGCGACCTGCCGGGAGGCTGCACGACTGTGCCTCGGATCGAGAACGGACGCCGACGCGTTCGAGAACGGACGCCGACGCGTTCGAGCACACACCTCCAGAGAAGTCGGAGAGGTGCGCGAACAATCGTCCCCTGACTGTCTCTGAGAATCCCTCCCGTAGAGCCACAGGCCCGACGTACACCAGGAGGTCGCTGCACCAGGCGGCCTGCCGGGAGGCGGCCCGCCTGCGCCTCGGCCGCGAGGGCGGAGGCCGATCGCGCTCGAGCAGCCGCCGGGCCGCGCGCCGGGCAGGGGGCACACGCGGGGGCAGCCGGACGAGAGGGGGGCGCCCGCAATTGAAGGGGCCCTGGGACACACACATGAATACACACCAATAAAAATACTCCCCATATATGTTCCTATATGTTCTGGGCTTCTGTCTTCCCCCCCACTTCCCATATGTTCCCACATTTTCTGGGGGAGTCGACGATTCATTGTGTCTGTGTGTGTTTTTTTGTCCCCTCCGGAACAGTGGAGGCAAAGAGGGAGAGGACGGGGCTCGAGCGGAACCGTGTTTTTCGTTCTTCTCGTTTTTCGTTGTGACCTCGTTCTGCTCCTGCTGCGAGGCAGGATCAGAACAAGGACGGCCCACGACGGCGCCAGAGCAGCGTTTGGCTCGGGCCCCGGGAGAGACTGCCCTCAGACGTAGAGAGCCTGCGCCCCGAGGAGCGCGCGGGCGGCCCCATAGGCTGAAGCACACACACACACACACACGGCTGGGTTCACGCGCGCAGCATCCAGAGCTCACATGCTGGATGCGCGTGCGGGGGCTGGGCGCCAGAAAGACGCGTGGCCCCATGCGTATCCAGCTTTCGCCCAGGCGGGTCGCACCATGTGGGCGACTTCGGCAACTCTGAACCCCAAAACTTGTTCATCTCTTTGGGGGGCACTTCTTTTACTTCCGCCACCCTCCGCCAACCTTCCGCCGGCTTCGGCGGGCTTCCGCCGGCGGAGGCGGCCTCGCTTTAGTTCCGCCTTCCACCGAGGAAGCGATGACAACTCTGTCGATCCTCAAAGGCCAGGCCTTTTTTTATGAACGCATCATGTGTATCCAGCTTCCTGATTCTACCGCAGCCGAAGATGGGACAGCTGACAGGGCGTTGTATTCTCACAAGGGCGACGCGGCACGAGCAAGCCACGGGTCATCTGGTCAATCGGAGCAGGGGTCGGGATCGAGAGGGCAGGGCTGGACCTAAACGGTGTTTTGGCCATCTCATGGGCCGTTGTGTGTTTCGTTTTGTTTTGCATTCAAGGCAGCGAGAGGCAAAACGAGGAAGACCGATTATCAAAACGAAAACTAAAAACACCGTTGAGATTCAGCCCTGCGAGAGGACACAAGTACACCCTAGACTTTGCAGGGTCGACCTGCGCACAGGTCGCGGCTGTACTCCTCACTGTTCCCGGAACACTCACTCGCGCTCACGGTGTGCCAGCGAATTGCGCCACGCATGTCCCTCTCGTACGCCCCTCTTTCTCACCTGCTCATTCCGCATGATCGGGGAGGGTCTCCGATCGAGAAGGCGGTGACTCCACAGGCACAAATCCTCCAAATTTGGTTCACAACGAGAACGACAACGTACAGGCACTCATGTTTAATGAGAGGAACTAGTTACTACTATCGCTACACTCCCCTCGAAGTGCACAAAACCTTGATAGAAACCTCCGGGAAAATGCACGCTGGAATTCCAGGCACCTCTCAGGAGGAGGAGACGAGAGAAGGGGAAGGAGGATCATGAAGGACGGAGGGGGGAGGTGGGGAAGATGGACGGATGGGAATGAGGAGGAGGAGGACTGAGGGAGGTGTAGAACATGGTTGACCACGTGCCCGTGGCTTCCGCGCTGAAGCTACCCGAGCCGCGATCCCAGGACGCGAACAGTCCCCACTGGCTACCTCTCCTCGGAGGGGTTTAGGAGCCGCGCTTGCTGGGGCCAGCGGCCGGCGAGTACACCAGTGGCTGCCGTGGTGGGGGCCTCGGCAACGCTTCTGGAGATTGGCTGGCTCGTCGCGGGGCCGCTCCCCACCCGGGCCCATCGACGGCCTCATCATCCTTCTCCTCCGCCCACTCCCCGCACCAGCGGCCTGATCAGGTCCACGAGGCTCCCGTCCGCCAGGTCCTCGAAGCCAGAGGCCACAAGCGACTCATGCATGACCTCGCGACGGTCAACCAGGATGCGCGGCCGGTCAGCAGGAGGGCGGCCGCGGCGGCCCCTTACGCCCGAAACGAAAGGAGCAATCAACGACTCGACGACATGCGTAACTATCCGTCTTTTCCCAGGTATATTTGGACTGGTAGCTCAACGAATGCTGCAAAGCAACACGCTGAGGTCAGAACCCCTCACACATAGCAAACAAAGCTTCCCTTCCCGAACATCTTGCCGCTGGAAAGGAGGGGGCAGGAGGAGACAGGAGGGCAAGGGGAAACGTTAGGGGGACATGCGTAGGGGGAAGACATCGAACTGGACTCGGCGAGACCTCGCCGACGGATCGGTGAGAGGCCCACGATGGCGCATCCGCACGTCCATCGGCAGTGTGGGCTATAGGGCCCCTCTTGGCGATGAGTAGGCGGTTGGGGGACGATGCAGCCCCTCCTGGGCCCTGGAGACGATCGGGGGGTCGGCAAATCCGCTCAAAATCGGTCCCTGGACCACTCCCGGAAACAGTCCCGTGAAGTGTTTCGCACCGGCTCCGCTCTTGACGGCCTGGGGCCCGACCGCGGCCCCCCCAACACCCAAACCCCAAACCCCAAACAAACCCAGCCTTGAACAGATCCCGCCCCAGACCCAGAACCCAGCCTCGAGCCCGACACCCCAAACCCAAGACACAAAACCCGCCCAGAAACCTCCCCGAACCCCAACGACCTCGGACCCCTCCTGCTGGTCGGGGCCAGTGCTGGGCCACCGCAGGCCCCCCCGCCGGCTCCAGCCTGAGCCTACACGTCGTTAGTGTTTTCAAAGTCGTGCGCATTTCTGAGCGTGCTCGTGTCTATTTGTTCCTGGCCCCCTCGTGGCCAGGCAGAGTCCCCAGGATAGAACAACTAGAAATGAAAGGACCTTGACCCCCCAAACATAATGGAACAACCAATAACAGCAAATGACAAAACAAATAATACTTCCTTGGCCCCAGGATGAAACAAAGAACAGTCGAATACTTAGAAATGAACCATGCGTACACCCCCCCAACTCTGCCCCGTTGCCGCTGAACGCCAGGCCCTGGACAGCTGTTTCTCCCACCATCCATCGCAACAGAACTGCACACAATTTGGGCACCAAGCGCCGACGAGGTCGCGCCAAAGACGATCAAGGGGAGAAAGGACAAGGAGGAGGAGGAGGAGAGAGGGGGGAAGCAAGAAAACCAAAAAGTACCGAAATAAGTACCGCTACATCCCTAAGGTGCGTTCTGAAGAACATTTTGGAGCGAATCCGGCGGTGGTGGCGAGGGCCTCCCAGGAGGCCCAAGCACGCGAGAACGACGCGAGGGTAGCGGTATGGGTCGCATTCCCTGCTTTGAAAAACAAATGATTCATTAAAGCGAAGGACGGATTTACTACATTGCGTCGCCGAATTAAAATTAGCACAAAGCATCAGCTAGTAAACGTAAAAAAAAACACTTTGTTAAAAAATTCAATCACGGATGTTCAACATCTGGGGCCGTTGTGCTACGCCCCAGACCCCATCATCACCGTGACCTGAGTGGCTCGATCAAATAAAACACATGGCCCCCCAATCTGCCGCGCGAAAGCGATTTTCCACTGCTCTCCACTTCGCCCGATCGTATATCTAACGCTAGCGTCGGAGAGCGCGACAAGGAGCAAACGAGAGGAACGTCATCACCAAATCGTTGCCAGCCAGCCTTGGAAGAACGTCGCGACCCAGCGCGTGGCGACGGGGCATAGAAAGTCGAACGCAAGCGGCGGAACGAACGCGTCCACGCCCGGCCGAACTCTCAAGACCACTTATTACGTCGCAGCTGCTTGCGGCCTTAACCATCACGGCCTGAATGGCGGAGAGGGGCAATGAGCGGAAAAAACTACGGTGAAGGTGGAACGAACATAGATCAACCTGGACTGGAAAGCGGACACACACACACACATACGCACGCGCACACGCACACGCACACGCACGCGCAGACGCACACGCACACGCGAAACCACGCGCACACGCACACACACACCCACACGCACACGCACACGCACAAGCCCACGCCCACGCCCACGCCCACGCACACGCGCACGCACACGCACACGCACACGCACACGCACGCGAACGCGCACGCGCACGCGCACGCGCACGCGCACGCTCACGCGCACACGCCCACGCACACGCACACGCACGCGAACGCGCACACAAACACACGCACACGCACACGCCCACGCCCACGCACACGCACACGCACGCGCAGACGCTCACGCACACGCACACGCACGCGCACACGCACACGCATACGCACACGAACACGCACACGCACGCGCACGCGCACGCGCACGCGCACGCGCACACGCACACGCACAGAGCATTCGCGCACGCACGCGCACGCGCGCACACGCACACGCACAAGCACACGCACACGAACACGCACACGCACACGCACACACACACACACACACCCACACGCACACGTTCACGCACGCGCAAGCGCGCACGCACACGCACACGCACACGCACACGCACACGCACACGAACACGCACACGCAGACGCAAACGCAGACGCAGACGCACACGCGCACGCAAACGCACACGCACACGCACACGCACACGCACACGCACACGCACACGAACATGCACACACACACACACACACACACACACACACACGCATACGCACACGCAGACGCAGACGCAGACGCAAACGCAGACGCACACGCGCACGCGCACGCGCACGCACACGCCCACGCCCACGCCAACGCCCACGCACACGCCCACGCACACGCACACGCACGCGCACGCGCACGCGCACGCGCACGCGCACGCGCACGCGCACGCGCACGCGCACGCGCACACGCACACGCACGCGCACACGCACACGCACACGCAGACGCAGACGCAGACGCAGACGCAGACGCAGACGCAGACGCACACGCAGACGCAGACGCACACGCCCACGCATACGCACACGCACGCGCGCACGCGCACGCCACGCACACACACACACACACGCATTCTCTCTCTCTCTCCCACACACACACACATTTTTGGGCGTCGCGGCCCCGCGCGTGGCGACCGGGCACATAATGTCGAGTGCGAGCGGCGGAACGAGCCGCGCTTACGCCCGACATAGCTCTGAGAGACGTTTTCTGGTTTCCGAAGCCGGCGGCAGCCATAACCATCGGGGCCTGGATGGCGGCGAGGGGCAATGGGCGGACGAAACTACGGTGCGGGTGAACGCACACACACACAAGCACATATAGAGGCACATTTACAGGCAGATACATTGGGCTAACACACAGGTCCCGAAGATTATCGAAGTCTCTCGTCCTCCTCGCCTCTTCGGCGCCGTCCTGCGCCTGCGCTCGTGGTTTCCCACTGCCCCCGCCCCCCGGAGGGCCAGCCGGAACAAACAACGGCGGCTCTCCTGCCCTGCCCAAATTCGCACAAACTCTGCCTCCGAGCCGCTCCCAGCCCGTCTCTCGAGGAGGATACGGCCGTGGCAGCGAGAAGCCTCCGGGAGGCCCAGAAAGACGAAGACACACGCCAGCAAGGGCTGCCGTGGCCTCGCCCCCCAAACAGTAGGCGTCGTCATGCTGCTTGTCTCTGTTTGCTTTTACTGTATATATCTCTCCCGCTCCAAGAACTAGCACAGAGGTCTGGAGCCCTTGCTGACAACCAGCCTTTCATCCCGAGAAATTCTCTGACGGCCCCAGGGCCCTGTTTTTCGACTTGCCCTCCTCCGATCCTCCCACCCACCCATCCTCAAACGACGCGACGACGACGACGACGACGACGACGACGAAGACGACGACGACGAAGACGACGACGACGGCGCGAGGAGGCTAGGCTTTCGGCCCATACCTCAAGCCACCAGCGGCCGTTCGGGAAATCCGAGTCCCCCCCCGGAACGATCTCGGCAAGGCGCAGCCGCTGGAAAACAGCGTGGGGCCGGTAACCGCATGCCGCGCATGGTACAAGGTGATCCCCCCCTTCACCACCTCTATCTGATTATCCACGGGGTGCGTATGTGGGCTCAAATTGCCACAAGAGGCGCGGGGGGCGAACCATTGGGCGAACTTGATAATCGCATGACAAATTCGTATCGTCGCTCTGATCTTCATAGCACGCATAGCACCACAAGTAATCCTTGCTAGAAATCCCGTGAGCATGTATTAACCGAAACGCAAGTTTTCGAAGATTCGCTGAGTTCGCGAGCAGCAGCTTTACTAGGATGTCTCAAGCTTTGTTGCTTCTGGAAATCGTTCCCCTCCTCTTCGCTCCTCATCCTTGCCCACCTTCTATTTCTCTCATGTTCTTTCTCCTCTTAGTTGGTTGTCATTTTACTCCTACTTATGTTTTCTCTATATCCTTATCCTCTTCATTCCCTTCTTCCTCTCTCCGCACCCCAGCTGAACTCGTTTATTGATGCCAGTGATGATAACGACCAGTATAAAACCAAAAATAATCCTTAAGTTGTACAAGCAGAATTTGATAGGTCCGAAACTTCAGTTTATCGTGGCATCTTCTCCTCATCCTCCTGTGCCCCGGAACCGTAATATTCCAAAGGTTTCGCACTCGTCCCGTACCTCGAGGCAGGCCCCCCAGAGTGGCTAGTGCATATCAGGCTCCAGGGAGAGACTTCTCCATATCAGCTTGGAGGAGGTCACTCAAGACTAATCCAGACATCCCAACATCAATATCTCTGGGAAACATGTATTGTCCTCCCACGACCCCGATTTTTTTCCTCCCCAGGGTGCGATTCTCCCCGGCACAGGGTTAACTCAAAGAACCTTCGAAAAACTGGGAACACCTTCCAAAGACGACGACGACGACAACGACGACGACGACAATGCCGAATTTTTTTCTCCCCAGGGTGCGATTCTCCCCGGCATAGGGTTAACTCAAAGAACCTTCGAAAAACGGGGAACACCTTCCAAAGACGACGACGACGACAACGACGACGACGACAACGACGACAACAACGACGACGACGAGAAAACGATGATGACGACGAGAACACGACGAGGACGACGAAGACGATGACGACAAGAACGACGACGACGAGGACTCGCTCCGGCGGAGGGCGGTGCCGTCAGCACAGAGGCGAATTCCTCGACATCCAGCAGCGGCGCAGCGGAGACGCTGCCACCTGGCCCCAGCGAGGGGCGGGGGCAGGGGGACGTGGATGGTGATGATACTGACAGTGATAGCGATCGGGTTGCGACGAAGCCCGGACGGTAGTAAAAACGGGTCAGGACAAATCGAACATCTCTGAGATCTGACGGCTCTGGAAGCTGTCTCGGGCGCCGCGGCCTTCTCGGAGCGTTTCGGAACTCCGGAACGCTCCGGAACGAATTTATCCTCGTCCTAACCCCGTCCGACGGGTACCGACTGGCGAAGGATGGGGGACGGCCTCGTACAACCTCACCTTGTGCCTTCGGCGTGCACCACCAGGGCGGGCCCAGAGCCCACAAGGACCAGACAGGCGGCGCCCAGGGCGAGGGCACTCAAAAACTCGTCCACCCCCAACGGACTGGCACGGCGGACGGCGAAAACCATGCACGCAATCACGCAGGTGACGATGATGAGGAGGACAATGACAACGCGAATGATGATGATGATGATGATGATGATGATGATGATGATGATGATGATGATGATGATGATAATGATGATGATGATGATGATGATGATGATGATGATGATGATGATGATGATGATGATGAGGATGATGATGATGAGATGAAGATGATGACGATATTGATGATAAGGGTTGTGGTGAAGATGATGATGCCGATGTTGACGATGTCCCTGATGATGAAGATTATTATGATGATGCTGTTGCTGATGATGCGTATGTTGCTGATGTTGATGACGTTGATGATGACGTTGTTGATGATGATGAAGCTGATGATGATGATGATGAGGATGATAGTGGTGGTGACGATGATACGAATATTGAGAATGACGATGTTGCTGCTGATGATGCTGCTGCATGAAGCTGATGATGGAGTGGTGGTGGTGGCGATGGCAATGGTGATGAACATGCTGATGAGAAGGAGCATGATGATGATGCTGATGATGATGATGATGAAGATGATGATAAGGATGATGAGGATGATTATGATGATGATGATGATGATGCTGCTGCTGATGGTGATGATCATCAGACCCCCCTTCGTGTGCCAGATCGCCTGCTGAGAGCTTCGCGAATGTCGGGGGCCCACTTGGCCACTGCACCTGCCCTGCTGTTGAAGAGACCTTCGACCCCCCAGGCCCCGAAGACCCCTCGCCCCTCAGGGTGTTGTGAAGGCAGGATGCAAAAGATCATGCGAGAGAAGGCAGCCATGCAGGACAGTGGGGGAGGCAGAGGGGGTATGGGACTTTCGGGATGACTGCGCCATGCAGGGAAGGGGAGAGGATCACTTCGCAGAGAAGAGGAAGCGCAAGAGGACAATCAAAGTAATGAAGAACATGGACACCGCCGATCGCTCAGCTCCCGAATCAGCAGATGCGTGCCTCGACGGTATAAAGCGGTGGCGGACCAAGCGTTGTTCACACTCCTCAGAATGCCCACGCCGAGAAAGGGGCAGATATTGCATGCAGCCCTGATACAATCGAGAGCCTGGCAGCTGACTTGCTGCCGGTCTCATGAAAATGAGCATGCCGGAAATGGCGTAGTCTGGGAACGGGCAGGCGGCGCATAGAGGGGGGATGACTCTTGGGAAAAATTTTGGCAAACGTTCCGTTGGATAGTGTGGGTGCTTTCGTCGCTTATCGGGCAGAGGCAGGTGGGGCTCCTGTAAGTACGCAAGAGCGCGAAACATGCAGAGGACTGCATCCATCCACGCTCCCTTCGAATAGCCAATGCTCTCCCGCTGGCAGTGCTGAGTGAGTAAGTCACTAAACGCTCGATTCTTGATGGTGGCTCGATACATGCTGGCCCTGTTCGTGCATTCGTGGTTCCGCGCGCGGACAAGAATACCAGCTCTATCAACATACCGAATCATGAACGCATACTTGGGGGCACCGTGAGCCTCTGGAGCATCGGTTCCTCAAGGCGCTTAAGCTGGTGGGTGAAGAAATGCACGCCCATGATATAGCTGGGGGCGCTGAACGCGAATGAGTTGTAGCTAATTAGACTTTGCGTGACACCCAAAGAAAACCTTTTGATGCACATGATACGTTCAAGATAGTTCTGGCTGAGGAAAGTCCAAGGCCGATGGGGCCGTCCAGGCCCGACCCAGACTCCAATGTAAAGCCCGCATCTGAAAAATGGAGATCCCGGACATATCAGTTCTAACATTCGCGAACATGGTGCGGACGTCCGCCTCGGCGCACTCGCGGGCAACAGGCAGGGGCAGTCTTGACTGTGTTCAGCCAGAAACCTGCGAGGTGGCTCGCGCGCCACGCGAAGTCCAATAAAGGATACATAGCGCTTACAACGCTGGCACACGCCACTCCTACATCATCGGCGAAGCCAAAGGGGGGGCCTCTCAAGGGTTCAACCAACTTCTGCATCATCCGGCGAACCACTGGACCGAAGGCGGTGGTAAACATGATCCCCGAGAGAGGGCGTCCTTGCTTCTTCGCGATGGAGATCCGGCGTCCAGGAAAGCGTTAGCCTCCCAGGGGAATACCAGTATCAATCCTCGAGCAAACTTGCCGAACCGCCTGCAAAACATGGCCAGGAACTCGAATGGCCCCCAGCACATTAATGATCCAAGAGTGGGCCAGGGAGGGGAAGGCGGCGCGGATGTCCATAAGAAGCAGACCTCCCTGCGAACAGCCTAAAAAGCAGGCGGCGCGGTCTCCATCGAAATAACATTGTCCAGGATATTCCGCCCTTAAATGAGCTCCCTTTGCACCTCGGTTACCGCGCATTGCCCCTGGACCTGGAGGGTGGCGCCGATGGGGGCTGTCGAGAATATTATTGTCGGTGCTGGGGAGGGTGATGGGTCGGGTTCTGTCGGCCGTCTTTGCGATTTCACCTGGGGCTCCAGGAGGGGCCTCTTTAGGCAAAAAAACTAGTTGCGCGTGATAGAACTTCCAGGCAGAACGCCAAGGTTCATCAGGTCGGTTGACGCATCGGGCAAATTCTCTCGACCGCTGACTCTTGGCGCGCAGTGTGCGCAACTCCATCGGGGCAGCTCGCCGGGTCCTTTCTGGAACCAATACTACCGCGAGACGAACCGAAGTCGATCGCCCAGGAGATGCCAGCGTAAACTTCCTGAACCTCGGGGGCCATCTCTGCTGGAGTGGAAACGCACGCGGGGTCGGCGCTATCAGCGGCGGCATGCGCTCCTCGCGAATGCTAAGCGAGCGCCCGGGCGCTCTCCTCTAGGCCGCCACGTGCCCGCCCAAGGGGGGGAACGGGTCCAATGAGAGAAAGACGCCGCTGGCGGGGGAAGCAGCTTCGGAGGAGCTGGCGCAGGTGAAGTGCGCGCTCGGGCTTGCGGCGTCCACCCCCAGCCCCTGTCAGCTGGCCGATCTCTTCATTGATCCAATCACTGCTGATGACACCCAAGAACTGTTGGGAAACACAGAGGCCAGAGAACGCGCGCGCCATGGATCAATCGAGTCCTGTAATTCAAAAAAGACCCGAGGGCGTCTATCAACTGCGAGGCGATGCTGCGAACGAGGTGCTCATCATCTGTACGCATAAAGCTGTCATCTGCTTGGGTTGCTGGGCCATTCCTGAAACATTGGGCCCGTGATCTTGCCGCGTGCCACGAAGAAACAATCTTTGCGCATCCGAAATTGTTCGCGGGCATCTCCAGTCGGGTGAACAGCCTGCAAGAAGCCGCGAACCGACCCCTCAACATCGGGATTTTCGGTGACCCAGGACAGAATGGAGGGGGGGCCACTAGGTCCAGGAGTCAGCGCCAAATAGATCGGGGCGTGCCCGGGGGGCCCAGCCTTGTCGAACGCTCTCCCAAGGCTTCCACTTTTCGGGTGAAGTTCCAGCAACTTAGCAGTGGGAAGGTTGAATGAAAGACGCGCGGTCGCGCCTGGCCAAGGATGCCACGGCGTCTTCCACTATAGACCCGCGGGCGGCATCATCTTGGACCCCCCCGGGAACTGCGGCGCAACCTTGCCGAAATATTTAAGCAGGGCCCTGGGCTCGGATCAGGGGGGGTTCCGTCGACGTGGCGCCGACAATCATTGTCCTCCAAGATGTTCCAATCACCACCGACACAGGAAAGACAAACGCCAGGCGAAGGAAGAACACCAGCGGCTTTAGCCGCATTGTATTTGAGTGGTTGTTGCATGCGGGATTCGACGTGTCCAATCGCGATCATCGCGTCTCCAGAGGGCCCGCGGAGCCTGGTTCCAAAGCGCCTGCCTGCAAGTGTAATCTGAAGATCGCCAACCTCGTCGGGGTTGGTCAAAACATATTGATTGGCACTGGCACGCCTCCAATGTGAGCGTCAGCGTGGAAGGGGCCAAAGTGGCAGAAGATGGGGCGCAGCCGTCGAAGGGTCTCGAGATCTTCCGAAGTTTGTGGGCTCGTTGACGCATGACAACGTCGAACTTTCTGATAGGCTTGCCGAATTTCCGGGAACGGGCGCGCTGCCTGCGATGGCGTCCAAACGCGCTGCCAAAGAGAGCTCTAGAATTCCAAGATACGATTCATGGCTCGGCGAATTACAACGGCTCGACCTAGGGCTGCGCACAGGCGCAGGTGGCAGGCCATTCCCCACCCCATCCAGAGACGCCGGTGGAGCCTGCGCTGCCTCGGGCAAGACGATTGACGGAGGCAGCGGCAAAACAACTGGCAGAGACGTGCCTGGGAATGTCCTACTCCGAGCTCTTGGGCTTGAGCTGGACACTCTCTCCGATGGTCTCGGCGTGAGCCTTCAGGATATCGCCGTGCATGAGGATTGGAAAGTTCGGGGCGACCTCGAACAAATAGTGCCACACCCTGTATCCTTGACCGGCACGACCTCCCATGCGTCGCCATTCTCGTTCATGTACAAGTGCCCCTGGAACGGATCGCTGCCAATCTTCATCGACGAGCGCCATGCATTGGCCAGGGCGTATGCCTGGCAGAGGCCGTAACTCTTCTGTCGGACAGGGAGTGCACTGCCGCGCTCAATCCTCAGCTCGTGGCATTTCTAATCATGTGGGTCCGTCCAGGAGATCACGATTCCCTTGCTGCGTGGGCCTACATCTGGTCATCCTCTTCTTTGTTGGGGAGCTTGAAGGAGTACGAGTGCTTGAAGCTCCCAGCCAGGAGCGTCATGCGATCTCCTGGGGCATCTTGCTCTTGAGCTGCTGGAAGCTGATCTCCATCTGCGACGAAATCAATGGCCTGGGGAAGCCGCGGGCCCGAAGCTTGCATGGGTCAGGATCATCTGCTCTCTGGGTTGTGGAATTTTGCGCTCCTGCGGCGGCGGCTGGGCGACGGCTCCGGAAGTCGGACCAGGGGTCGCTGCGAACCGAGCTAGCTGACGAAGCAGCAGCAGTCGATGAAATGGCATTCTCAACTTTGATCAGGCGGGCGTTCAACTCAGCCTCGAGGGTAATGATGGACGTACTCTTACGCACAACTCCAACATTCGTTCCATTCTCACCTTGGTTGTACCTGGTGTATGGGTCGTTCATTTCCTCGTTTTCCATGGCCACCGCCATCTCGATTGCGGCGAGCTGGGCGGCCTGGCGGGGGAGGTCGGTCTTCATGTCGGTGACGTCCTTGCCAAAACTGTCCATCCTCTCGCCAAACCTTTGGTCCATTTGCTGGACCTCGTGCGTTTGCGTCTGGATCTGGCCCGTGAGGTCGCCGAGCCGCGCGGTGGTCGGCTGGAGACAATGAGCCATCAACGACTTGAGGGTTTTCACGTTTATGGCGGCCATGCCAGAGGGGCAGCTGGGACGCGGATGAAGCCAAAACGGAGCGTGTTTTGGCGCACGTCGGGAAGTGTGAGGCCTAACCTCAAGATGGGACGCTCGAGCCCCCATTGAGCCAAAATGGCGACGGATGAGGATGATGCTCATAATGATGATGATGATGATGATGATGATGATGATGATGATGATGATGATGATGATGATGATGATGATGATGATGATGATGATGATGATGATGATGATGATGATGATGATGATGTTGATGATGATGATGATGAAGATGCTGCGGAGATGTAAAAGGATTGGGGGGGACGACGGCGGGTGGTAGCGGGGGGAGCGGCGGTAAACAACAGGAGGGATGGAGGAGGGGTGAACGAAGACCAAGGCGAGGACCAAGACGTGGTTGGGGAGCGCAGCAGGTTAGATTCGCTCACGCCCCTCATCCTGCTGTAAGGACTGATCACGAGGGGAAGAAGGGCAGGGGAAGGACAGGGAGGAGGGAGGCAGGAAGGGGTTTGATGAGGCAGGAGGAGAACGAGGAAGAGAAGGAGGAGGAGGCGGAGGAGGAGGAGAAACGAGGAACCACGCCTCCTCGCACGAAGGACGGCTCCGTGGCCATCACCCCCATCTTGTTCTGCTGCTTCTCGGCCCACCTGGCATGATGGGGGAACGCTAGATACACTACCCTGACAAGGAATGCGACTTGAATCGTCAATTTGTTTGCCTTCGTCGCCTTCGGTGTCGTCGTTGGCGTCCGGGGAGCCGTTGTCGGGTCCCAGGACATTGAGCAACGGACCCAGGATCAAAACGTACTCCCATTGAAACCCTGTGGGCGATGTTCCACACGACCTGCAAACTCTGCAACACTTTTTCACGGGGATGTAGGGGGGGGGGATCGGCCCTGGGGGGGGAACATCCAACCAGAATCGGCGACAGGCCCCCGATAGCGGAACCGCACGTCACCGGGCGGGGTGGGCCATCGGGCCGCTGTCGGCGCTCCATGGGCGATCGGGGGTCGGTGCACGAGGCCCTGAGCCCATCTCCGCTGGGCGCAGCCTGAGCGGAGAGCCCTCGCACAGGAAGAGGGGATGGGAACTGGGCGTGGCCTGTGGCATATCCTGGGGTGGGAACTGGGGCGCACGGACGATGACCCGGGTGCGATCACAGGTTCGATCCCAGAGCACAGTAATCGAGCCTGGGCGTGGCCTAGCTTGGAGAGCCCTCACACCGCAACAAAAACAACCCACCCGCCCAAGCCACCCCCTCCGAGAGAATAGTCCAGCTTGCGCAAGCTGCCCACACCGGAGCACTTGCAGCGAGGGAGGCTCCCACCTGAACTGGTGAAGCAGCCTCATTCGTCGCATGGCTGTCTGGACAGAACTACCTGGTACTCGCACGCCTGCCGCTGGCGACGGTGACCACTGCGCCGCGACAACTGGCCCCACTGCTGGCGAACCGCGAGAACCAAGGTTCACAGAGCTCGCCGACGGACCCGGCACTGGCGACGCCTCCGACGTTCGCCCAGGCATGCGAGGGCATCTGACCAAGCTCGCAGCTTCCAGGGTGGTGGGCACGTCTAGAAACATCATCGGGCTTTGCATGCGTCGCTCGCGTCCATTCTGGATGATCCGTGTACCTCCAGTCTTGGATCCGCCCATGAGCCAGAAGCCATCGATTGAAAAAAATTGGCAAGGTTGATACCAACGAATACATCAATATGCATGCGTCAAACCCGTCGTAGTTAGTTAATTGATTGACCAATGGCGGGGGCCGCGTTAGAAATCGTCGACAAGAAACAGCCACCTACCGCATCTCCAGGTTCCATTCTGAACATGTTCAGACGAAGACGGCTCCTGCAACGTTGCCCCGAGAACAGATGACCAACAAGACCTGCCACCTCTGGGGGACGTTCCTCTGCACTTCCGCCAGCTTCCCCCCAGCCGTCCGCCAACTTCCGCCTGCGGAGCTGCCTTTCGGTCGGGCGTGCCCCCCTACACGCGGATGCTGGGCGAATAATGAAAAAAACACACACTCAAAACAACATCCCAAGCATGCCAAAACAAAAACTCCTAACAAAAACATCCCAATGCTCCATGCTATTTCTGACTATTTCCCAATGCTCCAAAAAGAGCATCTTCAACTCATCCCAACTATTCTGACGATTCCCGGGCTATTTCTGACTATTTCATGACTATTCTTACGATTCCCGGGCTATTTCTGACTATTCTTCAACTCATTTCCCATGCTATTTCTGACTATTTCTGCAATCATCCCAACTCCAAAAGAGCATCTTCTGACTATTTCCCAATGCTCCTCCTGCAGAGGGGCACGCCCGACTTGAGAAACTGCCCCCGCGTCACGCCCGCCGGCCTCCGCGCCGGCCTCCCGCCGAGGCTCGGGCCTTGGCCGAACTGGGCTTCGCAGGACCTGGCTTAAGGATGTGCACTTCGGCGGCGGACAAACCTCCCTTTAATTCGCCGACCCAACGGGCCAGAGGCGTGCTAAGATCTCCGGTAACTTGTTAACAATATTTCTAGTTCGCGCGCGCGGAGCGGCCCCTGGGGGCCCCCGGACGAAAAGTACCCCGGCAAGGTCCCGAGAGAAGCCCGGGAGAAGCCACCAGAGCACTCCAGGGGAGGGCCATTTTTCGACACCCCTCACGAGGATCGTGGCCTCCGAGGGGGGAGCCGCAATCGACTACCCCCAAGAGCCCCCCAAGAGGCCCTGGGGGCCTCCAAAACGCCGCCAAGGAGCCCCAAGAGACTCCCAAGAGGTCCCCAAGAGGCCCCCAAGAGGCCCTAAAGAGGGCTCCAGGGCCGGCGGCATGAGCGAAGCGATTAAATAAACCTCCCCTTAGTGAAAACGGCCTGGGGCCGAAACCGACGGACCTGGACGCGCGAAAATGACGGCCGCGGCGCCCTCTCGCGAACCGAAAACGGCCAATTCCTGAATCGACGTGTCAGGGCAGCAAGTCTGTCCACCTCCGGGCACTGGGCCCGGTCCGCTCACCGAACTGCCGCCGCCCGAACAAAACACCATCTACGGCAGACCTGGCTTAGCGATTCTGGCCGATTCAGGGGCTTCGGGAGCGGCAAAGAGGGGGGTGTCCAAGAGGGGGGGGTGCAAATCATGACCGGCGGCATGTGCGCGGCCCAGCGGGGGGGCCAGGGACGTAATGAAACAAGAAGAGGCGCCATGAAATCTGGGGAAATATCATGGCCCGCGCCATGAGATCCCCCCCCCCCTAGTCATCACCCCCCTCTTTTCCGCCCCCGAGGGCTCCAGGGCCCCACCTCTAACCGGGTCTCCAGAGCCCCACCTCCCCAGACATCCGACGTCTCGATTTTTTCGAGACACGGGCCTCCGACCTCGCGACCACTTCCCTGGGACCGGTTTTTCCTCCCGATTCGTTTCTTGACGGTCCCGAGGCCCGGCGAGGGCCCCGAGAGGCCAAAAACTATGAAAAACCTCTGTCTCGATTTTTTCGAGACGCCCGATGTCTGGGAACCAGGCCCCACCTCTAACTGGCCGTACCCGCCGAGGAGAAGACGTCGGCCTCTTTTGGGCCCTCGAGGCGCAGCCCCGCCGCTATGCCCCCGCCCCGGGCACGCGGGGCAGACCTCTGGCCAGGCCCGGGGGCCTCGGGAGCGGCCGAGGAGGGGGGGGTCCAACAGTGAAGGGGCCCACAGACACACAAATAAATACACACAAATAAAATGATCCCCCATACTTTCCCATATTTTCTGGGTTTTTGTCTTCCCCCCCACTCCCCATATTTTCCCATATTTTCTGGGGAATCGACGATTAATTGTGTCTGTGTGTTTTTTCCCCTCCTGAAACAGGGGGGGGTGCAGATCACGGCCGGCGGCATGTGCGCGGCCCAGCGGGGGGGCCAGGGACGTAATGAAATGAGAGGCGGCGCCCTAGAATCTGGGGAGATATCACGGCCCCCGCCACGATATGCAGCCCTCCCCTCGTCAGCACCCCCCTCGTTGCCGCCCCCGCTCGAGAGGCCGACCCATGGCATGCCCGGGCCGGGCACCGGCAGGGACAGGGCTGGCGTCACGACCGCGACTGGGCCCTCCCAGCGCGGGCCCGAGGGCCCGCAAAGTGTGCCCCCAAAGTTCTGTTGCTCCCATCGCGCTCAAGCACCAAGTCCTAGGAACCATTTCGAGCGTCGAGCGAGTATCGCTCCCCGGGGCCCGACACGTGAAAACCCTCAAGTTTCGGTACTTTCCTGGCGCTCGAAATTCTTTCTGGTGGTCCAGGCTGAGATGCGTTGGAACATCATAAACCCAGAGGTGCCCCCGATGGGGACAGCACTGCGACGCCCCACGCTGGCCCAGCCAGCGACACCTGGACAGACCCACTGACAGGCTCCCAGAGTTAGGTCGTGCCTGTCCCCCATGCAGAGGGATTTAGGGCGAAACATTACACACATTCGAAACATATAGCAAACATGCTCAACATGATCGACCCACGAACCCGGAAAGGAATATAGAAATGTAAGGCATTGCAACATTTCAAAGACACCTGATTGGGCGACGGGCACATGCGATGCTGAATGTATCGATGATGATGTACTGTGCCGAGGGCTGTGCTGTGCTACGCCGTGCTGAACTGCGATGTGCCATGCCGCGATTGTGCTCCATCTATAGCGTTGTGGATCGAGTCCTCCCTGGCATCCGAGTCCTCACCGAACTGATCTGGAGCGTAAGCTCGAGCTGCCTGAGCAGATGGTAGCTGCCCCAGAACTAATCGACAGAGGGAACATGCCAGGAGGACGCGCCGCGGAACGTCCCAAGGGACGCGCCAGGCGACGTGCCAGGGGACGTGCCATGGGCACGCACCGCGGGACGTGCAAAGGGGACGCGCTACGGAACGTGCCAATGGACGTGCCGAGGGACGTGCCAGGGGACGCGCCGCGCGACGTGCCAGGTGGACTCGCCACGGAACGCGCCAAGGAACGTGCCAAGGTGCATAGTTGAGTGTATCGATCTTGATGTACCGTGCCGACGGCTGTGCTGTGCTGGGCCGTGCTGAACTGCGATGTGCCATGCCGCGATTGTGCTCTATATAGCATTGTGGATCGAGTCCTCCCTGGCATCCGAGTCCTCACCGAACTGATCTGTGTCGTAAGCTCGAGCTGCCTGAGCAGATGGTAGCTGCCCCAGAACTAATCGACAGAGGGAACATGCCAAGAGGACGCGCCGCGGAACGTCCCAAGGGACGCGCCAGGCGACGTGCCAAGGGACGTGCCATGGGCACGCACCGCGGGACGTGCCAAAGGGACGCGCTACGGAACGTGCCAGTGGACGTGCACTGCGCGACGTGCCAGGGGGACTCGCCACGGGACGCTCCGCGGAACGTGCCAGGCAACATGCCAGGCTGCAATGCTACGGGTATCGATATTGATATACCGTGCCGAGGGCTGTGCTGTGCCTGGGCGACCTGGACACGTGAAAACACGCGTTTCGATCAAGACGTTGTCAGCACATCCTCATGCTAGACATCCGACTGGGCAACCTGGACACGTGCAAACAAGCGTCTCGCTCGAGACATCCTCAACAAATGCTCATGCTAGACATCCGCCTGGGCGACCTGGACACGTGAAAACAAGCCTCCGGTTCGAGACATCCTCAACAAATCCTCATGCTAGACATCTGTCACCTGGAGGCGTGAAACCAAGCGTCTCGCTCAAGACATCCTCAAGACCTGGGCACGTGAAAACAAGCAATCCACTTGAGAGAGCCTCAGAATTCAGGTCCCCAGGAGAGAACAATCTATAACACAAAACAAGCGTTTCGCTCGAGACATCCTCAACAAATTCTGAAAAACAAGCGTTTCGCTCGAAACATCCTCAAATTTTAATTCGCCGGCCCTACGCGACCTCGTTATTTATCGCAAAAGAAATTCGCCGGCCCTACAGCCGTCAGATCCGGGGGTGAACCAACTAAAAGAGAACCCTGGGCTCAGGCCCTTTCCGGGAAAAATAGTCAACACATCGACCCCAGACTATTTTTTTTGAATTTCCCTCCTGTAGAGGGACAGGCCCGACTTAACCCCAGAAACCTCTTGGGCCTTGCAAGATCTCGAGGACCCTGAACGCTCTCGCGCAGAGGACCCGGATTGACTCCAAGGCTGTTCGCAGGAGGAAGCGAAACACTCAGCGACCAAACCGCATGCGTTTTGCCCTCATGAGAAGCACCTCCAACAAGCGAAGATCTTCTGCAAACGCACCTCGGGAGTGGATCCGGCAGAGCAGGGCTTTTCAGTGAACGCCCAGGGCTGTCAGCAAGCGCCAGCTGCTGGGATCGGGGCGGCTTCCCCCCCTTGGCTCGAAGCTTCTGTCGAGCAACCTTGGAGGGATCAGAAGAGCCTCTGGACGGCCCCATGCCGATTCGTGAGGCTGCGCCACTCCCGCCTCCCTTAGGGAGCCCACAAAGGACGTACGCGCCCAACTATGTACATGAACACGGCCCCTCGATCCGCGAGACCTGCCGCGTTATACGAACATTTGCGCTATGCGTACTCTCGAAACCAGCGTGGATTCATGTACGTGTACGTCCTTTTGTCGCTCCTGATCCCTCCCTCTCCTCCGATCCCTCCTCACCCTCACCACCCTCCTCTGCCTCGCAGCATCCCTCCGAGCTCCTCCCGGCGGCCCGCCGGCCCCCCCCCCCTCCCTCCTACGGCAGGCTCTCATCGTGACGACCCCCGCACTGGTTGCTGGCATCGTGTGGATCGTTCAATCTTGAGCGATCGATCGGCTGCTGTCAGATCGCCGGATGCTCCCATAGTGGCCGGCTCTGGGCCAGCGGCAGCGCTCAATCTTGAGCGCCCGCGATGGCGTCGCCACCGCCTCAACACGACGAACCTGTCGTATATTTCCTTCCTCTCCCCCTCTGGCTCCGCCAAGCTCCTCAATGCCCCCTCCCTCCTACTCCTCCTTCCTCGCTCCCTCTTGGGGGAGCAAAATGATACCGGTACGCCAGTCCGTAGACCTCTCTAGGGGTGCCTTATGGTCAGGATTTCAAAGCCAATCCAGCTGTGGCGACGAGGGTCGGGTACGGGGATCAGTAGGAGAGCCTAGAATCGAATTGATAAAGTCTACTCAGCGATCGAAATGGATCGGATCGGCGGAAATCGGCAGCCAAATCGGGAAACATCGAATCGGCGGAAATCCGCAACCTAGTAGGGCCTCAATTGAGAAACCGGGATCTGGATCGGAATACGAAATCGAAGCGAACGGGATTCGGAATGGATCGACATCGAATCGGATCGGGCTGGAGGAGTCGAAATGAGCCCTCCTCCTCCATCCCTCGAGCTCCCCCCCCCTTGCCTCCGTGCCTCTCGAGCCTCCGCCCCCCCCCCCCCCCCCCCCCTCCTCCCCTCCCCTCAACGTTCCCTGTTAGGAGGTCCCGCCTACTCCCCCCTCCTCCTCTCCTCCCTCCTCCTCCTCCTCCTCCTCCTCCTCCTCCTCCTCCTCCTCCTCCTCCGACCCCCTCCGCTCCTCCTCCCCCTCATTTCCACCCCTACCCTGCTTCTCCCCGTATCCTGTCCTCCCTCCCCAACCCCCGTCCTCCCTCCCTCCTGCTCCTCCCCCCTCCCTACCCCCTTCCTCCCCACCCCCCCTCCCTCCCTTCCCGTCCGCTCCCCTCCCTCCCTCCCTCCTGTTCCTCCCTCCCCCCCCCCCCTCCTCCCCCTCCCTCCCTCCCAGTCCGCTCCCCACCGCTGTCCCTCCCTCCCTCCAGCTCCTCCCCCCCTCCCTCCCTCTGGTTCCCCCCTCCCTCCCCCTGCCTCCCCGCCTCCGCCCCCCGAGCCCGCAGAGCCCGCAGCGATCGCCCTGGGCGGCCAAAAGGGGGCGGGCCCGAACGGAGAACGCGCCGCCCGCCTGACCGTGCTGCGCAGCCGCTCGATCAGCTGGTCGATGACGGCCTCGAACGGACGCTCCGCTGCTTCGAGGAGGTGGTGGGGGCGGCCGGAGGAGGAGGAGGAGGAGGAGGAGGAGGAGGAGGCGGAGGAGCAGGAGCAGGAGGAGGAGGAGGAGGAGGAGGAGGCAAAGCAGGAGGAGGAGCAGGAGGAGGAGGAGGAGGAGGACCAGTGTGAACCCGAGATTCCTCAACAATGTTGCCATAAAAGAACCCTCCGATGTCCCCCTTCTTGTGCCATTACACGGGTTCACTGCCACTGAAAGAAATGCTCCAAAGCACCATTATTGGGACTTCCACGCCACGAATCAACCTTCTGGTTGCGTACCGGCGATCTTGAATCGTTGCAGCACACTGTTCCTGGGACCTCAGCACCCCGCATCTGCCTAAGCGTCGCGACCCAACAGGACTACACCGCTACAAACCACCAGCTCTGGGACGTTGACCATGGACACGAAACCGTGTAAACAGCATGTTTTCCGATACCCTCCAGGAAGAGGAGGAGGAGGAGGAGGAGGAGGAGGAGGAAGAGGATAAGATGGATGATGGCGAAGAGCAGCAGCAGGAACCGCAGCAGGAGCAGCAGCGGGAGGTTGGTTTGAGTGGTCTCATTTTCCTCGTGAGGTCCGATTCGTGAGGTTGGTCTGAGTGGTCTCATTTCCCCTCCCCGGGAATCCTTGAAACTCTTGCGCATGATTAAGCGAGTGCACGCTGCGTTCAGGCGAGGGCAACTGCTCTTGAAAGGCAAGCGCCCTCGCTCCGTGAGGCTCTTGCAATCCCTTGCCACGAGTGTGCGCGGGGCAAGATCTGGAGTCAAGTCGGGCGTGCCCCCCCCTGCAGGGGGGTTTTCGGACGACAAATTACATATAGCAAGTCGGGCGTGCCCCCCCTACAGGGGGGTTTTCGGACGACAAAGTACATATAGCAAGTCGGGCGTGCCCCCCCCTACAGTTCGGACGACAAATTACATATAGTAAAAAAATAGCACGAGCATATTCAAAACTAGTCAACAAAATTGTCCCCAGACTATGTTTTGACTCTTGTTCCATATTCCCCCTGTAGAGGGACAGGCCCGACTTGAATCCAGAGCCACACGTGGAAGCAGAGAAGCCGCCCTCCGCCCGTGGAGTTCTATCCTTGCCACCGTGCTGGGCGCATGCGCGCGGCGCCGCGGCGAGCGCCCCCCACACCGAGAAGACGCCCGCCCTCCCTCCGCGAAGCTCTCGCAACGGCTCGGGCCTGAGCTGCCCCGATGCGCAGCACGCAACACGTAGCGCACCGACACGGAGCTCGCTCAATACGTAGGCTGAACACGCAGGTCCGACGCGACACCTTCGCCAACACGTGGCCCAATACGTGGAGCCAACACGCAGCGTAGTGACACGGACGTCTTGAATCTTGAACACGGGACGTGCTGCGTTTCAAAACGGGCGCATCGAGGCAACCAAGGTTCAAACCGAACGTGCGCGGCGCTTAGGCGAAAGAAACATTTCGAGAACCACCCGCCACCAACAATCCGCGAAACTCCGAGGAAGAGAGTCGAGGCCTTTGGGGGCAGGGAGGCGGGGAGGGGGAGAAGGGAGGCAGGGGGCGGGAGGCAGGAAGAGGGGGAGAGGGAGGCGGGAGAAGAGAGGATGAGGAGACGTAGGAGGCGGAGGAGGAGGAGGACCATCAACATGATCGACCCACGAACCCGGAAAGGAATGTAGAACTGTAACACATGGCAGCGTTTTCAAAGACACCTGATTGGGTTGCGATGTGCCATGGCGCGACTGTGCTCTATAATCGATCCACCTCGATGAGTAGCTGCCCCAGAGCTAATGGACAGGGGAACATGCCAGGAGGACGCGCCGCGAAACGTCCCAAGGGATGCGCCAGGCGACGTGCCAGGGGACGTGCCATGGGGTCGCACCGCGGGACGTGCCAAGGGGACGCGCTACGGAACGTGCCAATGGATGTGCCACGGGATGTGCCAAGGGACGCGCCACGCGACGTGCCAGGGGGACTCGCCAAGGGACGCCCCACGGAACGTGCCAAGGAACGTGCCAAGTTGCAATGCTGAGTGTATCGACCTTGATGTACCGTGCCGAAATCAGTGCTGTGCTGCGCCGTGCTGAATTGCGATGTGCCATGGCGCGATTGTGCTCTATAGCCGTCGTGGATCGAGTCCTCCTTTGCATCCGAGTCCTGACCGAACTGATCTGGATCTTAAGCTCGAGCTGCCTGAACACATAGTAGCTGCCCCAGAGCTAATGGACAGGGGAACATGCCAGGAGGACGCGACGCAGAACGTCTCAAGGGACGCGCCAAGCGACGTGCCAAGGGACGTGTCGTCGTGGTGGACGCCGCCGCCACCGCGACGTCGTCGTCGTCGCGCTGTCCTCGACCCGTCGATCATGTAAGCGTGGACTCTACAAACCGTCCAAGAGAACCCCAAGAGACGTCGTCGTCGTCGTCGTCGTCGTCGTCGTCGTCGCCGCTCCCAGAGCCTTCGGGGCCTCTCCTTGGCCCTCCTACGGAAAATCCTGCAAAACCTAGCGAATTAGTCGAGACATCCTCGAAATTCCTGCGCGCTGGACGCGGCACGCGCGAGACATCCTCGGAATTCCTGCGCGCGAGTCTTCCTTTGCATCCAAGTCCTGACCGAACTGATCTGGATCTGAAGCTCGAGCTTCCTGAACACATAGTAGCTGCCCCAGAGCTAATTGACAGGGGGACATGCCAGGAGGACGCGCCGCGAAACGTCCCCAGGGACGCGCCAGGCGACGTGCCAAGGGACGTGCCATGGGGTCGCACCGTAGGCCGTGCCAAGGGGACGCGCTACGGGACATCCTCAAAATTCCTGCGCGCGGGACGTGGCACGCGCGAGACATCTTCCGAATTCCTGCGAGCGGGACGTGAAAACAAGCATTTCGCCTGAGACATCCTCTGAATTCTGGCCCCCCACGAGGCCCCCGCTCGAGACATCCCCAAGTTTGCAGAAACCAGCGTTTCGCTCGAGACATCCTCAACAAATTATGAAAAACAAGCGTTTCGCTCGAGACATCCGGTCAAAATTCTAAGAAATCCTGACAAAACAAACGAATTAGTCGAGACATCCTCGAAATTCCTGCGCGCGGGACGCGGCCCGCGCGAGACATCCTTGGAATTCCCGCGAGCGGGACACGAAAACAAGCATTTCGCCTGAGACATCCTCTGAATTCTGGCCCCCCGCTCGAGACATCTCCAAATTTTGCGGAAACCAGCGTTTCGCTCGAGACATCCTCCACAAACTATGTAAAATAAGCGTTTCGCTCGAGACATCCTGCCAAAGTTCTAAGAAATCCTGACAAAACAAGCGAATTAGTCGAGACATCCTCGAAATTCCTGCGCGCGGGACGCGGCACGCGCGAGACATCCTCGGAATTCCTGCGCGCGGGGCGCTTTTCCGAGTCGCGGTCGGGGCTCCAGACCCCGTTATTTTTCGAGGATTCTGCGAAAAACGCTCCGCACCCTCTTTTTTACGAGGGAAAGCGGGGGTCTGCGGACCCCGTTATTTATCGAGGATCCGAGATGGGGGGCGAACTTTCCTCGAGCGGGCACGCACAAAACGCACTTTTTCTAAAAAAATCAGCACTTTACCTCGTTATTTATCGCAAATAATTTCGCCGGCGCTTGACCCGTCAGATCCGGGGGTAAACGGCTAAAAGAGAACCCTGGGCCCGCGCCCTTTCCGGGAAAAACCCACAACACATCATCGACGTTGCAATGCAACCTCCCTCAACGTTCCCTTTTAAGGGGTCAGGCCTAACCCTCCTCCTCCTCTTCCTCCTCCTCCTCTCCAGAGTTCCGTCGTCACGAACAAAATGCAACCTCGCCGAAGCAACTCAACCGGAGCTCTGGACCCCACGTCTCTGCTGCAACTCGTCGCGCCAGATCGATCCGCGAGGGTCCTGGAGCACGGAACAAGGCAAACTTGCCCGCTGAGGACAGATGCCACGCCAGGATCTGAGGGTCACCTGTATCATCTGCCGCCTCGTCTCCGCCCTCGCCGACCTGCGCACTCCGCCCCCGTCCTCATCCTTTTTCTTGGCCTCCTCGATGGGGTCCGAGTAGATGGGGTCGGAGGAGGCCGCATCGCCGATACGTCGTCGATGCATCGGCGATGCGTCGGCCATGCGCCGGCCATGCACTGGCGACGTCGGTGACGCATCGGCGACGTCGGCGTGAAGAAAATTGGGCCCCACACCGAGCCGCGTCGCCGATGCATCGCCGACGCATCGACGATGCATCGGCGATGGGGCGCGATCCTCCGACCCCATCTACTCGGACCCCATCTTGGAGGCCTAAATCCTTGGCTTGCTGAAGGCTCCTTGTACGGCTCCGCCGAGCCGCTCTCGCCGGCGAGCGCGGCCAGCTCGGAGGTGCACCTGCCCCCCGTCGATGGGCCCTCCTCGTCCTGCTCCTCCTTCGAGCTTCGACCTGTCGGCATCCGCGTCTCCAGGAGACGCAGACGCGGTCTCCTCCTCCTCCTCCTCCTCCTCCTCCTCCTCCTCCTCCTCACCCCCATCCTCCTCTCCTCCTCCTCCTCCTCCTCCTCTTCCTCCTCCTCCTCTTCTACAGAGGGGGAATGGCCATCTGGCGTGTCGCTGCAGGGAACGTCGGCAAACCGTGGGGCTGGTGACGCGAGTCGGTCGCAAGCCGACCACCCTCCTCCAGATGTAGCGCCACCAGTGGTAGGCTGAGTCCTTCGGGTCGTGGCCGTGCCTGGGTTGGTCGTTAACACTCCCAGGGGTGGCCGAGGTCACCCGAGCGTTTAGAGTATATACTACGAAAAAATGATGTATACGATACGCCTACACTAAGACCGTTCGGGCAACACCAGACCGTATTGATGAACTGGTAGCAAAGCACATCAACACAGATACCCAACATCGGAACTGCCTCGCCGAGTGGCCATGCCTGCAAGAAAGCCCTACAATAAGCCCTACCACCACCTTGTCAATCACATGCTGCAACCCATTGCCACCTGCCTGCCAAACACAACTGAATCAAGAACCTGATCGGACAAGAACGGGAAGCGCCGCTTTCATGGGCTTGTTAGGAACAATGATGAGGACGAAGAGAACGCGGGCGAGTACGAATAGGCGACGACGACGACGGAGGAAAAGTAGAAGGCAACTGGAGAAGGACGTTGGATCAGGAGAGGGTCCTGGTGACCCTATCGGTCTATCCTGGGGGCTCCTGTCACTGCGCGGGGGGTTGTCTCGGGGCCTGATAAGGGGACTTCTTGGGGGCCTCTTGGGTCCTCTTGAGGGCTTCTACCTCCCCGCCAGACAAAAAACTTACTCAAGAACCCGCCACCGTGGCAAGATGCACTGGTTGGAATGTCCTCACGTCTCTTCGAGTTCTCTGCCCCGGAAAATGACAACTCTCTGCGGGCCCCAGATCCTGGATATCCGGGCGCTTCCGGGCGCTCTTGGGGCTAGTCGCTGAACGTTTCTGGAAGACTCGGAGGCGTCTTCTAGAGTACAAAGTTGCAACATGCCGCCGCAAGATGGTCGAAATGGACTGTGCTTTGGCTCTCTCAAGTGCCTCCTGGGCACTCATGGAGGCCATGGGGGCCATCCCAAGCTTGCAAAATGGCCCCAACACGGCCCCCGAGGACCCGGAGAGGGCCCGAGAGGCCCACAAGCAGGTCTCAAGAGGGCTCCCTGGAGCGTGCTTCCGTCGCGCCGCCGCCCGAAGCCACCCCTCCAAGAAGGCCCCGAGATACCCAAGAGGCCCCCAAGCGCAAGAGGACCCCAAACAAGCCTCCAATGTGCACCCGATTAGGCCCACCACGGGATCCCAGGAGGCATCTAACAGGCCTCTTGCCCACGGCGCAGGCACGGTGTCGGCATGGGCCGAAAGCATCTACATACCTTACCAACGCACATACAGAACGCTGATTCAGGAATGCGAGATAAAGAACACTACGTACAGATCGAAGCCCATTTCTTGTGCCCCAAAGCACCTAGGTGCTCGAGGGGCGCTAGAAGAGCAACAATGACAAGACTAAGAAACAACGGTGCCGCTTCCGAACCCGACGCGGTCTTCATTTCAATGTCTCGACCCCACTCAGGCGCCTCACCAGCACCGTGCCGAAGTCCCAATGGCACCCCTTTTCTGTGTGGACACACTCTATGTGGCGCCACACGTCACAAGAATTGCGATGGTGCCACAAGTCTCACACCCCTTTTTTCGTCGATTGCCACACCAAGCATGCACTTCTAGTTAGGGGCAATTAAAAACAAAATCTTCCTGTGGGCCCCAATACACAAACCTGTGCGTGTTTGCCACACGTCACAACACTTTTTGTTGGGGACGCTTGTCACAACACCTTTGGTGACACAAGCCACAATACCTTCCTTGGCTTTGTTCCTTCGCCCTCCGCTTCCACCCAACCACAGCCTCCTCCTTCTTCCCCTATTCCTCCGCCCCCCCCCTCCACAAGTCGCAAAACCTGGTTTGATGCCACGAGTTGCATACAGTTCCAAGGGGCACAGAACACCAAGCCTTGCTTGGTGTCACACGTCGAACAACAGCTTCTGTTAGGCCACATGACACGAGTTTTTTTTTCTGTGGGGGGCACAAACCACAACCCCTTGTGTGAGGGCCCAAGTCACAACACCATCATTGGCGCACCAGGTCCTAAAGCATTCTTTCGGGCCACAACGCACAAACACAATTTCTAGGACCCACAAGCCACATACCCTTCTTCGGCCCTACAGATTTGAAAACAAACAAACGATCCTCGGAGGGACACTTCACAAAACCTTCTGTGGTGGCGCAAGGCACACAACCGTCCCTGGGGCCACAGGCCGCAACAATCTTCCGTGGCGCCACAAAAAGTGCAAACCCCCATTGTGGGGCCACGCACAAAAAAAACACAATCCGTTGGAACACTGCGCCACTCGTTACAATACCACCTCTCGGGGGCGCAGGCCGCACCACATGAGGTGCCACCTCCCCATCCAGCTCCTTCTCAAACTCCTCCTCCGCCGCCTTCTTCCCCTCCTCGTCCGCCTCCTCCTCATCATTCTGCTCATCCTCATCCTCTGCCTCCTCCCCTTCCTCCTCCCCATTTCTCTATCCTTCTCCTCCTCCTCCTCCTCCTCCTCTTGTTGTTGTCCTCATTCCCCCCGAAAAAAACATGATCGACCCACGAACCCGGAAAGGAATGTAGAACTGTAACACATGGCAGCGTTTTCAAAGACACCTGATTGGGTGACGGGCAAATGCAATACTGACGGTATCGATCTTGATGTACCCTGCCGAGGGCCGTGCTGTGCTGCGCCGTGCTGAATTGCGATGTGCCATGGCGCGACTGTGCTCTATAGCCTCGTGGATCGAGTCCTCCTTTGCATCCGAGTCCTGACCGAACTGATCTGGATCTTAAGCTCGAGCTGCCTGAACACATAGTAGCTGCCCCAGAGCTAATGGACAGGGGAACATGCCAGGAGGACGCGCCGCGAAACGTCCCAAGGGATGCGCCAGGCGACGTGCCAGGGGACGTGCCATGGGGTCGCACCGCGGGACGTGCCACGGGGACGCGCTACGGAACGTGCCAATGGATGTGCCACGGGATGTGCCAGGGGACGCGCGACGCGACGTGCCAGGGGGACTCGCCAAAGGACGCCCCACGGAACGTGCCAAGGAACGTGCCAAGTTGCAATGCTGAGTGCATCGACCTTGATGTACCGTGCCGAAATCAGTGCTGTGCTGCGCCGTGCTGAATTGCGATGTGCCATGGCGCGATTGTGCTCTATAGCCTCGTGGATCGAGTCCTCCTTTGCATCCGAGTCCTGACCGAACTGATCTGGATCTTAAGCTCGAGCTGCCTGAACACATAGTAGCTGCCCCAGAGCTAATGGACAGGGGAACATGCCAGGAGGACGCGACGCAGAACGTCTCAAGGGACGCGCCAAGCGACGTGCCAAGGGACGTGCCATGGGGACGCATCGCGGGACCTGCCAAGGGGACGCGCTACGGAACGTGCTGGGGACAAGCGTTTCGCTCGAGACATCCTGTCAAAATCATCTGAATTCCTACGCGCGGGACGCTGCACGCGCGAGACATCCTCGGAATTCCTGCGAGCGGGACGTGAACATGTCGGGAAGAAGGCGCAGCTCGAATGCAGGACTTGACACGTGTCTTCCTCCTCCTCCTCCTCTTCTGCGTCCTCCTCCTCCTCCCATACATCTAACAGAACTCGCCTGAACGCACGTGTTGGAGCTGGCGTCGCAGGTATCGTGTGTACCCGAGTAAACAGATGTCCCACAAGCGCAAGGCACGGTCGTCGCTGCTGCCGTACCGTCGGTAGTGCTGCATGCTGCCTCGGGCGATCCCAAGGCCCTCTCGGACCGTCTTGGAGCTCTTTGGGGGCCCTGAGGGAACTCTTTGGGGGCCGTGTGGACCTGGGAAGCCTAATCTATAGGCACATACGTAAGAACACACGGATTCGCTGGGGGCCTGGATTACGCTGGATCGTCGTCGTCGTCGCCGCCGCCGCCACCGCGACGTCGTCGTCGTCGCGCTGTCCTCGATCCCTCGATCGTGTAAGCGTGGGCTCTACAGACCCCCAAGAGACCCTCCAAGAGAACCCCCGGAGACCCCCCCACGCAAGGCTCTAAGATGAGACTTTGTCGTCGTCGTCGCCGCCGCCGCCACCGCGACGTCGTCGTCGTCGTCGTCGCGCTGTCCTCGATCACTCGATCGTGAAAGCGTGGGCTCTACAGACCCCCAAGAAACCCTCCAAGAGAACCCCGAGACACCCCACGCAAGGCTCTAAGATGAGACTTTGTCGTCGTCGTCGCCGCCGCCGCCACCGCGACGTCGTCGGATCGTGAAAGCGTGGGCTCTACAGACCCCCAAGAGACCCTCCAAGAGAACCCCAAGACACCGCTCCACGCAAGGCTCTAAGATGAGACTTTGTCGTCGTCGTCGCCGCCGCCGCCACCGCGACGTCGTCGTCGTGGGCTCTACAGACCCCCAAGAGACCCTCCAAGAGACCCCCCACGCAAGGCTCTAAGATGAGACTTTGTCGTCGTCGTCGCCGCCGCCGCCCTGTCCTCGATCCCTCGATCGTGTAAGCGTGGGCTCTACAGACCCTCAAGAGACCCTCCAAGAGAACCCCAAGAGACCCCCCCACGCAAGGCTCTAAGATGAGACTTTGTCGTCGTCATCGCCGCCGCCGCCGCCACCGCGACGTCGTCGTCGTCGTCGCGCTGTCCTCGAGCCCTCGATCGTGTAAGCGTGGGCTCTACAAACCGTCAAGAGACCCTCCAAGAGAACCCCAAGAGACCCCCCCACGCAAGGCTCTAAGATGAGACTTTGTCGTCGTCGTCGCCGCCGCCGCCACCGCGACGTGGTCGTCATCGTCGCGCTGTCCTCGATCCCTCGATCGTGTAAGCGTGGGCTCTACAAACCGTCAAGAGACCCTCCAAGAGAACCCCAAGAGACCCCCCCACGCAAGGCTCTAAGATGAGACTTTGTCGTCGTCGTCATCGCCGCCGCCGCCGCCACCGCGACGTCGTCGTCGTCGTCGCGCTGTCCTCGAGCCCTCGATCGTGTAAGCGTGGGCTCTGCAGACCCCCAAGAGACCCTCCCAGAGAACCCCCGGAGACCCCCCCACGAGAGGCTCTAAGATGAGACTTTGTCGTCGTCGTCGCCGCCGCCGCCACCGCGACGTGGTCGTCATCGTCGCGCTGTCCTCGATCCCTCGATCGTGTAAGCGTGGGCTCTACAAACCGTCAAGAGACCCTCCAAGAGAACCCCAAGAGACCCCCCCACGCAAGGCTCTAAGATGAGACTTTGTCGTCGTCGTCGTCGCCGCCGCCGCCACCGCGACGTCGTCGTCGTCGTCGCGCTGTCCTCGATCCCTCGATCGTGTAAGCGTGGGCTCTACAGACCCTCCAGAGACCCTCCAAGAGAACCCCAAGAGACCCCCCCACGCAAGGCTCTAAGATGAGACTTTGTCGTCGTGGTGGACGCCGCCGCCACCGCGACGTCGTCGTCGTCGCGCTGTCCTCGACCCGTCGATCATGTAAGCGTGGACTCTACAAACCGTCCAAGAGAACCCCAAGAGACGTCGTCGTCGTCGTCGTCGTCGTCGTCGTCGTCGCCGCTCCCAGAGCCTTCGGGGCCTCTCCTTGGCCCTCCTACGGAAAATCCTGCAAAACCTAGCGAATTAGTCGAGACATCCTCGAAATTCCTGCGCGCTGGACGCGGCACGCGCGAGACATCCTCGGAATTCCTGCGCGCGAGTCTTCCTTTGCATCCAAGTCCTGACCGAACTGATCTGGATCTGAAGCTCGAGCTTCCTGAACACATAGTAGCTGCCCCAGAGCTAATTGACAGGGGGACATGCCAGGAGGACGCGCCGCGAAACGTCCCCAGGGACGCGCCAGGCGACGTGCCAAGGGACGTGCCATGGGGTCGCACCGTAGGCCGTGCCAAGGGGACGCGCTACGGGACATCCTCAAAATTCCTGCGCGCGGGACGTGGCACGCGCGAGACATCTTCCGAATTCCTGCGAGCGGGACGTGAAAACAAGCATTTCGCCTGAGACATCCTCTGAATTCTGGCCCCCCACGAGGCCCCCGCTCGAGACATCCCCAAGTTTGCAGAAACCAGCGTTTCGCTCGAGACATCCTCAACAAATTATGAAAAACAAGCGTTTCGCTCGAGACATCCGGTCAAAATTCTAAGAAATCCTGACAAAACAAACGAATTAGTCGAGACATCCTCGAAATTCCTGCGCGCGGGACGCGGCCCGCGCGAGACATCCTTGGAATTCCCGCGAGCGGGACACGAAAACAAGCATTTCGCCTGAGACATCCTCTGAATTCTGGCCCCCCGCTCGAGACATCTCCAAATTTTGCGGAAACCAGCGTTTCGCTCGAGACATCCTCCACAAACTATGTAAAATAAGCGTTTCGCTCGAGACATCCTGCCAAAGTTCTAAGAAATCCTGACAAAACAAGCGAATTAGTCGAGACATCCTCGAAATTCCTGCGCGCGGGACGCGGCACGCGCGAGACATCCTCGGAATTCCTGCGCGCGGGGCGCTTTTCCGAGTCGCGGTCGGGGCTCCAGACCCCGTTATTTTTCGAGGATTCTGCGAAAAACGCTCCGCACCCTCTTTTTTACGAGGGAAAGCGGGGGTCTGCGGACCCCGTTATTTATCGAGGATCCGAGATGGGGGGCGAACTTTCCTCGAGCGGGCACGCACAAAACGCACTTTTTCTAAAAAAATCAGCACTTTACCTCGTTATTTATCGCAAATAATTTCGCCGGCGCTTGACCCGTCAGATCCGGGGGTAAACGGCTAAAAGAGAACCCTGGGCCCGCGCCCTTTCCGGGAAAAAAGAGCGCAGCACGACTACAAAAACGACGTTCAAATCCGATTTCTTCTTTTTTGTTATTTTCCGCCGGGAGCGGGGGAGAAGAGAAAGTAATCCCTATATTATTCCTCCTCCTCCTCCTCCTCCTCCTCGCCTTCGCCCCCCCCCCCCCTGACGGTGAAAAAGCGGAAACAACAAAACAGGACATCAATGTAGCGTTGTAGTTTTTCTTTGGGGGAGGAGGAGGGAAAACAAAACGAGGAGGACGAGGAAAGAGAAGGATGAGGAGAAAGGCGAGGAGGAAGAGGAGGAGAAAGAGAAACCGCAACAAAGCGTACGATTTCAATAAACAACAAAAAACCTTAAAAGAAAACTCCTCCAGGGATCGAAGGGCTCGGCAATCCCCTGTTCCCGGTGGGATGGGGATCGGCTAGAAGATGCCGACAAGGGGCCTCACGCGGAGATACATCCAGAGTGCCCAGCAGGGTCCCCCTCTCGCGGACGCTTCTATAATCTAGAAGCGATCCGCAGGATGTTGTTCGGCAGGCTGTCTAGATCCAACCCTGTCCAAGCGCAACGTGATATGTGCTGCGGCCAACCCTCGATCATCGAGCTCACAACGCGCTGGCCGCTTTTGTGTTCCCCACGTCTCTGTCTGACTACCTACCAGACCACCCCAACCCAACTCGAAGACCCGAATTTCAGGTTTGGGGGGTACGGGTTCCATCTGTGTTTTCTCAATGTTCCCCGACCCCCACGCACTGGAGGTGGAGGGCAAATCGAGGCCTTCGGGTTGGGTTGGGGTGGTCCGGTAAGTGGTGACTGTCACTGTCCTCCTGCACTCCGACCTCAGCAACGGCGAACGTGCGCTGACGAATCTGCATCGGGATGTCGCCACCGCCACGGGTGGATCTGCACGTCGCGGTGGCTCGAGGAGGAGCAGCGGGGCGCTCGGCGATGGAAATGAAGAGGGCAGCGGCGATGCATGTGTGCCCTGCGAATGAACAACTGCTGATGCACGTGCTTCCTCTTCTGCTCAATCTCGCTGCCCTCTCGGGGACCTGCGAACGCTCAAGTCCAACCGCAACTTGCCCAATGCCTGTGCGGGGGGGAGGATGAGATTCCGGGTCTCATTCCACCCCTTGCTTCCGTTAACACACCCCGCAGTTCATGACTTCCCCCCCACCCGCCTCACTCTCATCGGCATGCCTTCTCCTCCTCCGCCGCTGCATCCCTCTCTTTCCCTCCGCCGACTCCTGCTCTCCCCCTGTGCCTCCTTCCGCCCTGACCCCTCATCCCTTCCCCCTCCCCTCCCCCTCGCCTCCTCATCTCTCCCCTCTCCTGCCTCTCTTGGGGCGGATCCTCCTGGGACTGGAAGGTCCGTGCCGACCGCGGTTGATGATCTCGTCGAGCTCGATGGGCATCGTGTCTTGAGTTGCAAAGGTGCCATGGTGTGCACGATATGTGGCTCCTTCCACGTCGGGTTTCGCCGAGGTGGTCATTGTAAGCCGTCGGGTGATTATTTATCTGGGGCCATCTGAACACAATAACACCCGTTCTAATTAGCGATATGCTGTCACAACCATCAAGGCCGGCAGGTACCGTAAGACGGGGAAGCCCCTGCAGGCACCTGAACTTTCATAGTTTCCCCCCTGCTCGTTGCCACGTCTGATTTCTGGAATTCCTGGGCGACCCATGGTGGTGCCAACATTATCGGGCACACGCAAGAGTCACCGTAGGCAAGAGTGACCTTTAGTGCGCGGGTTAAGGGGACGCAAGGTGGCCGCATCCAGACGCGCAACCACCATCGCATCGAGCCTAGCGAACGGGGGGATCCCGGTGAGCCCGCACCACAGGTCACTCCAGTGAAGGGTCAATCTTACGTGTAGTCGACATTCGGTGTGGATCTCTGCGGCGCCCGCCATCTGGCGTCAGAGGTCGGAATGCCTGACGTTCGGAAGTGGTGGTGACGAGCAGGGCCCGATGTTGGCCCTTGCTCCCATTTCTGGTCCCTGGAAAAGGCCTCCTCGCGCCTGTACTCTGTGCAGCCAGCTCTGTTCCTCTTCCTCTTCCTCTTCCCGCTCGCTCCTCTCTTCCTTGTCCTCCTCCTCCTCGTACCCTCCCGCTCTTTGGTCTGCCCGTTCCTCCGCCAGAGCTGCCGGCACGGCCAGCGAGCTTCTGCGTGGAGACGTGCCCGGGGCCGAACGGCCCTCGAGCAGGTGGCTCGTGGGACGCGCGAAGGAAGGGGGAGGCTCCTGGTCGAGCCCAGAGGAAGCTTCGCTTCTGGACTCGTGTCCAAAGCGCGGCCCGGGGACTCCGCGCGGACCTCCGCGAACGTCTGCGTTTGGGTGCCGAACCCTGCTGCTCGAGCTGTGGGCAGCGCCCCCACGGAGCGCGCGGGGCCGCCGCTCGCGGGGGAGGGTGCCACGCCTCGCTCTCTCTTTCTCTCTTTCTCTCTTTTTCTCTCTCTCTCTCTCTTGTTTTTTTTTCTCTCTCTCTCTCTCTCTCTCTCTCTTTTATAGATATTTAGATTCTGTCGCCTTATATATATGTATATATATATATGCATATATACATATATATCTGTGTGTCTGTCCATACAGATGTGCATCGACGGAGCGCGTCCACGGACGGTGGCGGCTTGCGCTCAGAGGCTGGCGCGGCACCCGCGGCACGCGCGCTGGTGAGCGCTGCCGCGCGCCGCCCGCCCGCAGCGGCCGCCCATCGTCAGGATTGCAAAAACATCCTTCGAAGGATTGCAAAACAAATCCTTCGATTTGTTTGCAATCCTTTGCAAAAAAATCCTTCGAAGGATTTTTTGCAATTTTTTGCAATCCTTCGATTTTTTGCAATCCTTCGATTTTTTTGCAGTCCCCCCACAGGGGGATTTTGGACGAACAATTAAAGCACATCGTCAAACATACGCAACAAAAAGAAAGCCAAACAATACCCCAAACATCGTCCCCTGGCTATGTCTTACCATTCTTGCAGATTCCTCCTGTAGAGGGACAGGCCCGGCGTATGACAGCTTCTCAGGAGGCCGGGGGACCGAGCCTTCTGTCAGGTCGGGCCTGTCCCCATACAGGGGGATTCTGGGCGAGAAGTGCAAAACACCCAGAACATATTCAAACACTCATCAAAAGTGATAGAAAATCGTCCCCATAATATTTTATATATATATATATATTTAAAAAAAATGTTTGAAGATCCCTCCTGTAGGAAGACATGCCCGACTTGAGCCCATCGCTGGGGCGCACTGCGGCGGCGTGGCGTGCAGCACGGCACGGGCCGCGGCTCTGGCACGGGCCGTGGGTGGTGGCAGCGGCTGCACGCAAGCGTGACCCTGGACTTAGGTCGGGCATGCCCCCCTACAGGGGGATGTTGGGCGGAAGCTCAGAAATACCAACAACAATAATCCATACATGCTGAAAAGTAAGAAAAAAGTCGCCCCAGACTTTATTTTGGATTGTTTATGGAGATCCCTCATGTAGAGGGACAGGCCCGACTTAACCCTGGGCAAGAGTGTCTTTTGGTGCGCGGCTGCAGGGGGCGGCATGGGAAACCACATCCAAGCGATCCGAGCGCGCCAGCCAGTGCGGGTGCGACCCCTCCCAGGCCCCCGGCACCTTTCAGAACGTCGACCCCAAGAGATATCGATCCATTCCCAGGGACCGGTTTTTCACCCACGCGCCAATTTTCAACGGTCCCGAGGCCAGAGGACTGAAATAGCCGAAAACCTCCCGTCGCGATGTTGCTCACAATGCGAGAGGGTCTGGGCTGCGTGCGTACCCGCACCACAAATCATTCCGGCGAAAGGTTAGGTCGGGCATGTCCTCCTACAGAGGGAGTTTGGCAGACACTTCGAAAAGTGTTCAGCAAATAACTCAAGAACGTCAAAACATCGTCCCCAGATCATTGCTTGACTGTTCTTGCATGCTCCTCCTTTAGAGGGACATGCCCCCGACTTAAAGCGAAAGGCCGCCCCTTGCGCGCAGCCGATGGAGATCCGCCCGCGGCGGCGACGCCGTGGGGCGGCGGAGCCCGGGTGCCGCTGCCGCTTGGGCGCTGCGGGCGGACGCCTCGCGTGGCCTCCGCACCGCAGTCGGGCCTGGCTGTGGACTGGCATCGGCGACTCGGGCGAGGGGGGGGAGCGAGAAGATGAAGACCTTCTCTCGAAGAGGAGGAAGCGGCACGGACACATGGAGGTGTGGCGCTCCGCACCAGACGTTTACGTGTATGTAGTTGTTCTCCTTCGATCCTCAGCAGGCGGCGGGACTTCTCCGAAGCCCCCGCGCCTTCCGAGAACTGTCCTGCGTCTTCGGGGAAGGCTCAGACAACTTTTAGGTCGGGCGTGTCCCCCTGCAGGCGGATTTGAGATGAACAATTTCCCTCAAAATATTCAGCAATTCTTCAAAATGATTTGAAAAATCCTCCCCAGACTATCTTTTGACGATTTTTTCAGTATCCCCCCCCCCTGTAGAGGGACAGGCCCGACTTGGGACAACTTTTCAGGAGGCCAGGGAACTTCCGAGCCTTTTTCCGATAAGGCCTGGACCCTTCTCGCTTCCATTCTTTGGCTCGCCGTCGAGAGCAGGCCTCGAGGATGGACGCTGACATCTTCGCTTCCTCCTCCTCCTCCTCCTCCTCCTCCTCCTCCTCCAATCTTCTCGCCATTCCCCCTCCTCCTCCTCCTTCTCCTCCCTTTCCTCCTCCTCCTCCTCCCTTTCCTCCTCCTCCTCCTCCTCCTCCAACTCGGAACTCCTGCTCCTCCTCCTCCTCCTCCTCCTCCCTTTCCTCCTCCTCCTCCTCCAACTCGGAACTCGTGCTCCTCCTCCTCCTCCTCCTCCTCCTCCTCCCACGATGAGGTGATCGGCAGGCGCTGCTCGCATGGTGCCGTGGTGCACGCCTCTTGCGCCACGGGGCCTGCTCAAGGCGGAACGCGCGGCGGGAAGTTGAGCAGGGAACCGTCCACCATGCATGCCGCGGCGACCGTCGCTGCCGAGCAGACGGACTCTTTCGAGTTGGTGGTCAGCCGCGGGCTCTGTTTAGACTTAGCTTAGGTCGGGCATGTCCCCTTACATGCGGATTTTGAGCGAAAAATGAAAACTAGCCAAAGCATCTGCGAAACGATTCCACATGATAGAAACATCGTCCCCAGATTATGTTCTGACTGTTTTTGAATATTTCTCCTGTGGAGGGACGTGCCCGACGTAAGCTTAAACCGACAGGATGCCCAAGTGCAGGACGCCGCCCCTGCGGAGGGACGTGCGCGCCGTGCACGCCGTGGACCTGGGTCAAGAAAATGACAAGTAGCCGGAAAATACCCAACAAATAATCAACAAGAATCCCAGAATCGTCCCCAGACTATATTTTGACTGTGTGTGTGTGAGTGAATCTTCCTCCTGTAGAGGGACATCCCTAATGTAAGGCTAACCCCTTGCAGCTGAGACCGCATCCCAGGACGTCGACAAGCTCGCGCTCGGTTCACTGGCCGATGCCCTCCCCAAACCTGGGAAGAGACCTGCTGGGCCTCCCGCTGCTGCCCCTCGTGCCGCCGACCCTGGAATTCGGGATGCGGGTGCCAGTTGCAGAGCACAGAGTCGAGTCGATGTCGGGTCGGTGGAAATCGGCATCCAGGCCGAAAGACGTCGATGGGGATGAAATCGGCGGCCCGCTGATGAGTCACGACTCCAGCTACAATTTCATGATGTAGAGCTGCCAAGCCTCTGAGCTTGGGCTCTTGAGGCCTCAAGATGGCCCCAACACGGCCCAAGAGAGCCCCAGGATAGGGCCCAAGAGGGCCCCAAAAAGGCCCCGAGAGCGCCCAAGAGCGCCCAAAGAGCGTCCCAAAAGGGCCTCAAGACTCAAGATATCATGTTTGAGCCTCCGAGGTGGGGCCTGAATTTATTACCCCTGTCTTTTTGAACCACGGGGCCCAAGACGGTCCCAAGAGGCCCCCCCGAAGAGCCCCAAGAGGGCCCCGACCTTCCAAAAGAGCCCCAGAGTGCGCCAAGCGGCTCCGCGAGGACTCCAAGAGAGACCAATGACGGCTCCAAGAGACCTCCGAGAAAACACTCCAAAGGCGGTTGTTGCACTGCATGCTTCTACACTTCCCTGATCAAGGCAACTCGCCCAGCGATATGTTTCTGGATGGGCTGTTGGGGATAAGTACTTTTGGTCCGCGGGCGCGCGAAACAGTTCGAACGCCGAGCCTGCTACGGCGGGCCGCGCCGGTAGCGAAGAGAAAAACAGTGAGCGACGGCGCGCTAGAGGCCGCGAAACCGACCTGGCGGTCAGCAGCAGACGAGCGTGCCGAACACGAAGACCTTGAGCTCGAACGTAGCGAAGCACAGGAAGTGCCCCTGTTGGGGATAAGTACTCGGAGCGTCAAGCAGCTCGTGATGCACAGCTGCCGAGCCTCGGAGCTCCGAAAAGCTCGGAGCGAAGCGAGCTGAGACAGCGTCAGCTCCAAATCCATCCGCGGAGCCCCTCGCAGCACGCACCACGCCTGCCGAGCTGTGTCCAGCCGTGGCGGCCAGGGGGCCTCCCGAAGCCCAACTACCGTTGTCTCAACTCGCCCTCTTCCGAATCCAAGCGCTAATGATGGTGTGCCCGAGCTCCAGATTTCCTCCGCAGCCGTCGGAACTCCGCACACCTGGGGGCACTCCCTCCCTCCCTCCCCCGTCCGATGCCCGGCACCATCCTCCGGCTGCTGCACCGTGCCGGGTGCCCGGCTGCACAAGTTTCCTCACCTTCGGTTTGTGGTCAGGAGCCTCGTGTCGCTCCGCTCTGCGGGGCGGGAGGCTGGGAGACGCCCCAGGCGCTGACTAGGGGGCCACATGCGAACCCTACCCCTCCCCCTCTGAAATCGTGGGGGGTAGGGGTAGGGTTCGCATGTGGCCCCCTAGCTGACGCCGAGGGACTGGGAGGCGGTTGGCGCGTCGCGCACCCGAAGCGCGGTGGGCCCGAAGCGCCGGCGCGGCACGCCAAGCCAAAGTTCCCGACCGTATGTCTCGTGCCAGCGTCCCCTGCCTCCTCCGCTGGTGAAGGCGCCCAGGGGCGCACACACAGAACTAGACACCAATCCCAGGATTCCCCTACATGTGGCAATATCTCCTGGATTTTCGTTTCCCCCTCCACTTCTTATGATTTCCCATCCTTTCCTTGGGATCGACGATTCTTTCTGCCTGTGCGTGTTTTTTTTTCCCATCCTGAGCTGGCACCAGCGGCGCGCTCGGAGGCTGGCGCGCCTTGAGGTAGAGCAGGGCCGCCTGGTGGCGCTGCGCCACGACCACCTCGCGGGTGACCTGGCGCCCCCGAGAAGGCAGAAGGGGGGGGGGAAAACTCCAACATACAGCCCGACCAAGGCTAGAGGAGCATCACTGAAGAACATGAGCCTCTCCGCCTGCCAAGCCGAAGAACATGCGAGGGTGCCGTTCCCAGGATGCGCAATAGCATGCAACAAGCACGGAGAACACGGGGGTGCCCTCCCCGAACCGACCTCGACCCTCTACCTCGGTCCGACCGTACACCCAGGCCACGCTAATGGCTATGTTGGCTTATCTGCGAGGTTGGGAATGTGGTGTTGACGACGCCGAGCTCTCGCAGAACAAGTTGCAGGACAACGCGAACCAGCCTGCCCCAGAACAGGGTTGGCCACGCACCACCCCCACCTACAACACCGAAACCTACATCGCCGCTACCTGCATCGCCGTGAGCGTGTCTACAGAAAGAGTGGGAAACTTCACCAGACAGTCGAGTTTGACTGGAAGAAGCACGCGATGGGGACACGAGACCCTTGGGAGGGTCACGCCAAAGCCCAAGCGCAGAACAACGGGTGTCCCCTGCTTCGCACGGCATTGATTGGAGAAGACAGGCGAGAGGACACAAGACCCTCGAGTGGGACACGCAAAACGCGAAACGCAGGACTCGAGGGCACCCGTGATCTGGAAGGATCGACCTACTCATCAAACTCGGCTGTATGCAGCAACCGCTGGGGTAACCCCAGGAAGCATTTAAGAACCCCCCCGGCGATATCGTAGCACCGCATTTTTTATTCGATATTCCGAAGGGCCGAAATAACCGAACGATAGCTGTAGCACCCGGGCACGATGATGATGATGATGATTATGATGATGATGATGATGATGATGATGATGATGATGATGATGATGATGATGATGATGATGATGATGATTATGATGATGATGATGATGCGGATATGGATGATGGTGCGGAAGGGTTATCGATTTGCCGGAGGGGAGGGTTCTTAAATGCTTCCTGGGGTTAAGACCTCGGGGTTTGCACAGACAGCCTCCCAGGTAGTCTGGCCTCAACAACCTTGAAGGGGCCCGGGGACACACACAAATGAAGACACACAAATAACAGGATTCCAAATATTGTCCCATATTTTCTGGGTTAATGCGGGATGACAATTAATAAAAAATGAGAGAGAACAATAAAAACATAGTTTTCTGTTATTTCTGCACAATTTTCTGACTGGAGGACAACGATTAAAACAAGTGTTGTCCAGCCAACGGCCGGTTTTTTCTGATCGTCATCCCGGGCGCCGCCGCGTGAACACGACCCTCGGTCATTTATGAATCGTCATCCTCCAGTATTGTCCCCCCCCACTGCCCATTTTTCCCCATCTTTTCTACGGGAATCGACGCTGCCTTTGTGTCTATTTTTCCTGATATTTTCTGCGGGAATCGACACACAAATGAAGACACACAAAGAACAGGCTTCACCATATCTCCTCAATTTTTTCTGGATTCTTGTCTCCCCCCCTCTGCCCATGTTTTCCCATCTATTCTACGGGAATCGACGCTGTCTTTGTGTATGTGTGCCTTTTCTAGGGCGACACAATCTATACATATCCACTGCTCCCTGGCCAGGCCCATCCTGAGCACAGGAGCTGTGTATACGCCGCGCCCTCCTGGGTTCAGGATGGGCCTGGCCAGGGAGCAGTGGATATGTATAGATTTCGTCCCCCGATTTTCCCCTCCTCAACAGCCTGGCGCTGCCTCCGGCGGCGCCCCGAGGGCGCTCCGCGCCCGAGGGCCGGGTTGCCGAGACCGCTCTGGGCGGCTCGGGAGCGCGCCCGAGGTCAAGTCGGGCCTGTCCCCCTACAGGGGGATGTTCGACGAACCATAAAACATACTCAAAAAATACCCCCAAGTTGTCAAACGATACTCGACACATAGTCCCCAGACAAATGTTTTCTCTATTAGTGAATCTTCCCCCTGTAGAGGGACAGGCATACGCCAAGAGGGGATGTCCAAGAGGGGGGGGTGCAAATCACGACCGGCGGCATGTGCGCGGCCCAGCGGGGGGGCCAGAGAGACGTGATGAGATGAGAAGAGTCGCCATGAGGTCTGGGGAGAAATCATGGCCCCCGCCATGATATCCCCCCCCCTGGTCATCACCCCGCTCTTCGCCGCCCCCGAGCTACTCGGGGGGGGCTGTCGAGGCCAGCCGGGGGACTTCTTCCTGGGGGGGGGGGCTGTCTGTGCGTGACCCGACGCCTTACCAACCCGGACTCGGAGATTGGAGGAAGGAAGAACGGCGTAAACAGCAACTTCGGGAGGTCCGCGCGAATGCCTTGGGTCCGCGCTGGGCCCACCTCCCTGGCGCGCGGAGCGCGTCGGGGGCGGCGCCGGAGGCGCTGCCAGGGGTCCCAAGCGAAGATCCAAGAAATCCGCGCGGGCCGCGAAAAGTTTGATGCTCGTGCCGTTCTGCTCCTTCGAGGGGTACCTCGCCGACGGCTCCGCGAAAGGGGCCCGCGGTGGCGAAACTGCACGCTCCTGGGCGGGGGCCAGGCCGGGCTGCCCCCATCGGCGATGGGGGGCGGGCGACGGGGGAGCCGAGGGCTGCCCCTCTGGTCAGGGGCCATGCCAGGGGCCAGTCCTTGCCCCTGGCATGGCCCCTGGCGGGGGCGGCGGGCGGGCTCCACCACGGCGGCGGGACCTCTCGCCATCGCTCGGACGGCTTCTCCCTCTGTTTTTTGTCGGTCTCGTGCGTGGCTGTTTCGCCAGATGGTCAAGGATGTTCCTCGATGGTCCTCGCCGAGGAAAAAAACGCACACGTCCGAGCGATGCCAGGACCTAGGACAGAAGAAGGTCCTGCAAGAGCATGGGGCCCTCCAACGGCCACAGCACTCCGAACCATGAGATCACTCGAGGGCGATCCCCTCCCAGGATGTACAAGGACATGCCATCACGAAGGGCACTAGGGTTACCCTCCGCGAGCCGACCTATATCTGAGGCCTCGGCCCGATCGCAGTTCACATCTGAAGGGGCCCTGGGACACACACACACACACACACACACACACACACACGCACACACACACACACACACGCACACACACACACACACACACACACACGCGCACACACACATACACACAACTACACATAAGTAACAGGATTCCCCATAGTTTCTCATATTTTTTGGTGGGTTTTTGTCTTCCCCCCAACGTCCCATATTTTCCCATATTCTCCTAGGAATCGACGATTCATTGTGTCTGTGTGTGTTTGTTTCCTCTCCTGAACATCAATGGCGCCGACGTTCGACTCAGGAGGAGGAGGAGGCGGAGGAGGAGGAGGAGGAGGAGGAGGAGGAGGATGATGAGGAGGAGGAGGAGGAGGAGGAGGATCGAGCCTCGTCAGGGCGAGCGCAGCAGCGCGGGTGAGCCGAGAGCTCGGTGCGGCTGCCCCTGCGCTCCCGGCGGTGTTCTGCGCCGCCCACCCCCCTCGGTGGATGGGCTCGAGGCCGACGGCCGCGCAGCGCGGCACGAGGGGCGAGCTGGGCCAATCCGCAACTCGTAAGTCGGGCGCGTCCCCCTACGGGGGGATTTTCGACGAAGAACATACGCACAAAATCATCCAAGATCGTCAAAAGTACTAACAACATGGTCCCCGGATCAGTTGTTTGTCCTATTTTTGAACAGGCCCGACTTGACGCAACTCCCAGAGCGCAGGGGTCGCGCAGGTGTGAGATGTCATGCGCAGCCAAAGGTGCTTGGGCAGAGCGCTGCGCCCCCTGCAACCCACACCCGGCGGCACTTCACACACCCGCGATCGCACCGCCACGCATCTCCGCCTGAGCCTCCTCTTCCTGCTCCTCATCTTCCTCCTCCTCCTTCTCCTCGTCGTCGTCCTCCTCCTCCTCCTCCTCGCATGCGACGGCCAAAGCTCTGGAGTCCGCACGAGCGTCTCACATGCCTTGCCATCTCGGCCGCCCATCTAGCAATGACAAATCAGACTTAAGCATGTGTTGTTGTGTTTTCTTTCATGGGAGTCCAGCATCAGCGATGCCCCCCACAAGAATCACATCTTGGAATTCATAGCCAGGGCTCGCGAGAGGGCATTCCCCCCCCCGCTGTGATGCCGACAACAACGAACCATCGCAGGTCGACAATGCTTCTTACCGAGCGAGCGCGGAGCCGCCTGTTGTACTTAATGGCAGTGCGCAGTGCAGGCTACATGGATGACCAGGAAATATTCCATGAAACAAGCCGCAGGAACCAAGCCTCCAACCCTTCCAAATACGATCCTCCTCCCGAAGCTTTGGCAAACCACTGCCCGGGGGTGCTGGCACTGGGATGCACCATCCTCCTCCTCCCGAAACTTTCAGTCCATGGATGTCCCAATGTAGCTACCATTGTCTATACCGCAAGTGGGCCAGCGCACGCCTGCGACGTCACGTTCGGGTTGCCATCGCGGTCGCCACCCATCCACGACGAGAAGACGATAGGGCAGGCCTGATGGGGTGGGGGCTGCGGTGCAAAATAAGACGCAACTATGACCATGATTTGAAGGAGGGGCCAGAAGATGATGATGATGAAGACTAGCGAGATCAGGAAGATGAGGAAGACGGGAAATAAAGCAGGAGATGGCAGATGAGACACTGTGCGTTGTGTCTGTGCCAATTCGCTCGGTCGCCATTGTCTTGGCATTACATGCCCTCCCCCCCTGCATCCTGGACGTCTATATCTGTATACGTCTATAGGTCTCCCCGCCGCGACAGTTATCAATGGAACAGTTGTATGCTTGAAGTGATCCACATGTTGGCGGACAACCATGGATGTGATGCACATACACACATACATACACATAGCACTACCATGTATATCCGCCGAATTGGCGTGTGAGCTTCTGAAAGAAGGAAGGGGGGGGGGGCTAACGCCATTCAGGCCCGGAAGAGAGGAGGGGGCTGACGCCATTCAGGCCCGTGAGGGAAGAGGGGGGGGGGGGCTGACGCCATTCGGGCCCGGGAGGAGGAGTGGGGGGGGATGTCGTTCTGTCGCGGGGGGGGAGGAGGCTGACGCCAGTCAGGCCCGGGAGTGAGGAGGGGGGGGGGGGCTGACGCAATTCCACCTTTCAAGCCCGGGAGGGAGGAGGCGGGGGGGGAGGCTGACGCCATTCGGGCCCGGGAGGGAAGAGGGGGGGGGGCTTCGCTGTCGGGGGGGGGGGGGGCTGACGCCATTCAGGCCCGGCAGGCAGGAAGGAGGCGAGGGTCGGGGGGGTGGCTGACGCCATTCAGGCCAGGGAGGAGGAGGGGTGGGGGGGGCTGACGCCATTCGGGCCCGGGAGGGAGGAGGGGGAGAGGGGGGGGGGGCCATGGGGAGGAGGGGGGGGGGGAACGCCATGGCTAGCGCCATTCAGGCCTGGGAGGGGATCTGGGGGGGAGGGGAGAGGGGGGGGGACGCCATGGCTCACGCCATTCAGGCCCGGGAGAGCAGAGGAGGGGGAAGGGCCGACGCCATGGCTGGCGCCATTCACGCCCGGGACGGGGGAGTCGGGGGGGGGGGGGGGCTGACGCCATGGCTGACGCCAGTCAGGCCAGGAGGGTGGGAGGGGACATCCCATGAGTTTGACTGTTTACGCGGGATCGTCACATTCGAATATCCGAAGGTTGCCCAAGCAAGTTCAACATCTCTATCTTATGAGGATGTCTCGAGCGCGTGCTTTACGTTTCAAACAAAAAAATATCCGTTGCAAGCAGAATCGGTAGCACCCTGGATCGGCGGCACTGGCCGGAGGCCACTACCACTACAATACATATACGTAGATCCAAATCGCATGCATACACATGTACACATGAGCTGCAAGTGGTGCCGCACACAAGACACGAACCAGACGAGCAGTCCCGCTAGCATTGCCCCTAATAGGCTTGTGGTGCGTCCTTCTTTTGGTTCCTCCTACCGTATAGTTTCTGTTCTACATGCCTGCGGTCTCCCGCCCATGTAACTTAAATACCACTTATTCTCCACCCCTGATTCCGATATCCCCCGTGCCACCACTGTCCCATTCCTTGTCCCCTTCCTGGTACTCTATAAGCACGCCTTCCTTCGGCTCCCTGCCCCGACGTCCTTCCATTCGAAATCTTCCTCACTGGCCTCCTCTGAACCCCTTCCGCTCCGCTTTCCTCTCCCCCCTCCCCCTACTCATTCTCCTCCACCCCCTCCTCCTCGCGCCACCTCCCTCCTCCTTCTCATGGCTGTCCTCCCTCTCGGCGTCCTCCCCGTCCTGTCCTACTCCTCCCCCCCCGGCCCCTCCCTGACCACTTTTCTCTCACCCCTCTGCCTGCCCCTCACGCCCGTCCAGCCTCTCTACTTTCATCCCAGCGTCATCGACGTCGGGGCAACTACAATCAACCCGTATCATGAGGATGCGTGGTAATGATCCGCAAGGGTCTTGGCGGCCCATGTTAACATTGTTCGGACGAGGTCGGCCAGCGAAAGTCGCTAAGGATGGGCCGAAAGGGCAAGGATGCAAGGGGGTACCCTTGGGGAGGTTGCCCATCCTCACTATTCGGGTTGACTGTATCTCCTTGCCCTTCCTCTCAACTCCCCGCCCCTACGTCCTGCCTCGTGCTCCTCGTCGTCCTTTGCATCTCCCCCTTCTCTCCCCCCCTCCGCCTCGAGCAGGGTGCGTGGCACCCTTCACGCTGCCTCTGGCGAAACGGCGGCATACAACTGTGTTGTAACGCCAGGCTGATTCCCCCCAACACTTCCTCGTCCGCCTCGCCCTCGTCCCTCGCATGGAAGACGTAGGACGGGCGAGGGGCGGAGGAGGGGCGGGAACAAACGATCCCCGCCTGCACCCCGCCTCCGTTCCTCGCCTGGGGCAGCAGAAGGACGCCGGCACCGCTACTCTTAGGTCGGGCACGTCCTCCTACAGGCGGATTTTCTAAGAAAGATAAACACAGTCAAACAATTAGCTAAAAACTATTCCAAAAAGAATCGAAAAGTCGTCCCCAGGCATTTTTGCGGACTATTTTTAAAGATTATACCTCTGCAGTGGGGCTCCAGGGTGCGCTCTGACCAATGTCGAGGCGAATCCAGCCGCCGCGACGGAGGAGGGGTGCTCCGAATTTCTATGAAGGGGGGTCTGACTGGTGCTAGATCGGGCATGTCCTCCTACAGGCGGATTTTGGAAGAAACAACGAAAAAATGTCAAACCATTATCAAACATTGGCCAACAACAGTCGGAAACGCGTCCCCATTTTTGTTGTCAACTCTTGAATCTTCCTCCTGTAGAGGGATATGCCCGACCTGACGCCACTCCCCAGACTTCTGCAAGGGGCTCCAGGGGCGCGCCCTAACCGCACATTTCGAGGCGAAGCTGGCCGCTGCGACGGAGGAGGGGTGCTTCGAATTTCTACGAAGGGGGGTCTGACTTGCGTTAGGTCGGGCACGTCCTCCTACAGGCGAATTTTGGAAGAAAAATTAAACATAGTCAAACAATTATCAAACATACCCCAAAAATAACCAACAAATCGTCACCTGACTGTTTTTCTACTATTCTTGAATCTTCCGCCTGCCTGGGGGTGATTTCAGATGGTTCCGGGGCGTCTGAAAAAAAAGGCCGCCCGATCAGGGCTGGCCTGTGGGGGTGTCTAGAACTGCTCGTCTGGAAGGTGCGCCCAGCGGGGGGGCCGGCCTTCTCACAAGGATCGGGAGCGCCCCAGTCCTCTGATTCAGAAAACTTCTGAGAAGGCCGGAGGGCTTCTGAGAAGCCCTGTCGCCATCTGAGAAGGCCTTCTCATTCTCCCTTCCCCCCCCCTCGCAAATCCCCCCCCCCCCTCGCTCGCCGCCGAGTGTGCCCCTCCACTCGATCTGCTATGAGCTTCGGAGCATTGGCATCGGTATCGTTTCCTCTCCTGATCGTAATCTCCTCCCTGGGCCCGGAGCGCGGCCGACAGCGGCAGAGGCTTGTGGCACTTGGCCGACACCACGGCGTTGAGGCGCCGCAGGAAGTCGGGCACCGCGTCCCAGAGCACGTTCGGGATCTGAGCAGCGTTAAGTCGAGCCTGTCCCCCTACAGGGGGATTTTCGACGAAACAAAAAAAATACCCATAAAATAATTGAAAAATAGTCCAAAGATAGTCTGGAGACTAGTGTGGGAATATTTTTCGACCTTTTTGGGGTACTTTTTGGGTAATTTGTATTTTTCGTCGAAAATCCACTTGTAGGGGGGCAGGCCCGACAGAACGTTAGCGCGGGATCGGCTCGGGGGGAGATGACATCGAGCCGTAGTCGGCATCAAAGCGCCGATGGATCGGCGACGGGCCCTTCGACGGCGAGTTCGCGCGTGCCTTGGCGGGGTGGGCGATCGGGCCCGTGCAGGCGATGCATGGGCGAGTGGGGGTCGATGCCTTCCCCCCTGATGAGCATACCCCCCCGCCCTAACGTTATGCTGTTCCCATCCTACTTCAGGATCGTATCCCAGAAATAATTTCGAGCACCAGGACAAATGTCGAAAGAGTGTCGAAACAGTATCGAAACAATGTCGGGCGAGTGTGACCCAGGGCCCGACACGTGAACACCCTTGCGCTCCGGTACTTTTCTGTGGGGGCGCCCGAAAGTCTTCCTGGTGATCAAGGCTAAAGTAGGTTGCAGCATCATAAGACTCGAAGAAAAAACAAACTCATAAACATAAACTTTTGGCGCTCCGCGCGGATTTCTTGGCTCCGCGCCGGACACCCCTCCCTGGCGCGCGGAGCGCGCCAGGGGCGGCGCCGGAGGCGCCGCCAGGGTGGCCCAGCGCGGGTCCAAGAAATCCGCGAGGAGCGCTAAAAAGTTTACGTTTATGTGGTTGTTTCTTCTTCGAGGGACGTTGCCACCGAGCCCATGGTGTACCCCCCCATTGGCCACCGACGGCTGCAGAGCGCCCCAAACCCAGCCCGCGGAGAGCGCAGCGTGCTGCCGAAGCTCCACCAGGGGAGCTCCGGAATCTCACGAGAGGCCTCCTCCGAGGACCTCGGAGGCCCAAAGACATGGCCAAACTTATCCGCGTTGCAAAGGATCCGACCATGTGCAGACGCGAGTCGCGCAAGGAAGATGCGAAGAAGGAGGTGGGCGAGAAAAACTGCGAGCACGGTAAAGGCATAGGACAAAAAAAACATTGCATGAAGAATCCGGGGTCTGGAAGCCGGTGGAACTCCAATCGTGGCATGGCCGTGTGTAGCACGGCCGCCCTCATCAGGTAAGGAACCCTCCAGGGTCTGGGGCCTCCTGGGCATATTCGTTAACTGGAGGAACCAAACAACGGCATGCCAGGGACAGCGCCGGGGGCACTGCCAGGGGGTCCCAGCGCAAATCCAAGAAAAACGCGCGGACCGCCAAACTGTATGTTTATGCTGTTTGATCTTCCTCAGTCCTGGGCACACGCCTGATCGAACGCCCCCGCCTCAGCTTGCAGTCAACCCGTATCATAAGGATGCGCGGCAGGGTTGCAAGGGCCTCGGAGGGCCACGTTACCGTTTGTCGAACGAGGCTGGCCCACGACAGTGGCCAAGGCTGGGCCGAAAGGGCAAGGATGCACCGGTACCCCTTGTCAGGGGAACGTAAGACCTGGGTACAGGGGACTCGAAAATCCCCGACGAGGTCGTCAAAAAAACGACGAGGCCGAGCCTGCATTTTGACGAGGCCTCCCGCTGCAGACATCCCACGAAACTCCTCCTCGTCAAAATCCGAGGCGCGGTCGTCAAAAAACGATGGCGAACCCGAGTCCTGGCAAACCCGGGTCTTACGCTCCCCCGACCTTGGGAAGGTTGCCCATCCCTACCAGGCGGGCTGACTGCAGGACACGGTCTCTGCTCTCACAGGCAGCGCGCCGCAGGAGGGGCGAGGCGCAGGGCAGCGCCGGGCACGGGGGCGGGCGGAACGGCAGGGCCGACCAACAGACTCGATCACCGGCTTGGCGAGGCCCGACACTGGGAAACACCGGGGGCGGTCGAGAGGGGGGTGATGGCTAGGGGGGTGTTGGATATCATGGCGGGGGCCTCGATGTCTCTCCAGATTTCATGGCGCCTCTTCGTATTTCAATACGCCCCTGGTCCCGCCCCCTTGGCCGCGCACATGCCGCCGGCCATGATTTGCGCCTCCCCCCCTCTTGGACACCCCCCTCTTGGCCGCCCCCGGGAACACAAGAAGCACTCACGAAACATCGGACATGGAGTAACACAGAACTAGATAAACATAAACTTTCGAAGGCTCGCGAGTCCCCTGGCGGCGCCTCCGGCGCCGACCCTGACGCGCTCCGCGAGCCAGGGGGCGGATCCAGCGCGGATCCAAGACACCCGCGCGGACCGCCGAAAGTGTATGATTATGCCGCGCTTGACTCTTCGAACTCACGAAACATCTGACAGGGGGCGAGGGACATGCGAGCGACGATCGAAAACGGGTCCTGCGCGAGATGGCATAGCGACCTTACGCGGTGACCTACGCGGGCCGCCAGTGCGGCGCGCTGCGCTGGAAGCGAGGGCGCTCACGCGCGACCTTTGCGCGAGCAGCTTATGCGCCAACGTCGGCTTGTGCATCGATCATGCTGGCGGCGAGAAAAGAAGGCGGGGGGAGCGCGAGCAGGCGGCAGCGACGCTTCCGCTCCCTGCGGGGCCACGAAAAGGCGCGAGGGGCATGGCGACATAAGGAACAGGGACGCGCGCAAATCCTGCCAGCGGGGCCTTCGGTGGAGCTCCCCTTGGCGCCACGAAGCGCGTGAGGGGTGTACCGAATCGGGGGCGGGCACGCCATGTGAACGCGGCCACTGGGGCCTTCGGTTGAGCTCCTTCAAGGGGCCACGAAACGTGTGGGAGGTGTGCCGAATCGGGGCGGGTGCGCCATGTTAGCGCAGACGTTGAGGCATTCGGTGGAGCTCCCAGTGGGTCAACGAAACCTGTGCGTAGTGTGCCAGATCGAGAGCAGATGTGAACGCAACCGCTGGGGTCTTCAATCAAGCTCCCTTTGGGGACGCGAACCGTGTAAGGGTGTGCCGAATCGGGAGCGGGTACGCCATGTAAACGCAGCCACTGGGGCCTTCGGTGGAACTTCCCATGGGGCCACGAAACGTGTGAGAGGTGCGCCGAATCGGGGGCGGGCACGTCATGTAAACGCAGCCGTTGGAGCCTTCAGAGAAGCTCCCTGTGGGACCATGACGCGTGTGATGGGTGTGCAGAATCGGGGGCAGGTACGCCATGTAAACGCAGCCATTGGGGCCTTCGGTGGGCTCCCCATAGGGCCATCATGAGGGGTGTGCTGGATCGGGGGCTGGTACGCCATGTGTTGTGAGCGCAGCCACTGGGGCCTTCGGCGGAGCTCCCCATGGGGCCACGAAAATATGAGGAGTGTGCCGAATCGGGGGCGGGGGCGCCGTTTGAGTGCAGCCACTGGTGCATTCGGTGGAGCTCCCTGTGAGGCCACGAACGAGGAGGACATAGAGGGAGACGCGGGAGCAGGAAGGAACAAGTGATGCGGGGCGCTTCCTCTTAGAATCAGGGACCAGTACCACAGGATGATCAGGCGTCATAAGAAAATAGCCCGAAATAACCCCAACACGGCCCCAAAACGCCCCCAATACGGCCCAATGACGCTCCAAGAGGGCCCGCAGACCTGGCCAGGCATGGCTATACGAAGATCTTCGAATATCCTCAACAAACCTTTTACGGTCAAAAGCCTCCAGACGCCCAACGGGCCTCCAAGATCCCCCATGAGCCCTCAAGAGGGCCCCAAAGACTTCCCTCAGACTCCCAACTGGTCCTACGCGGCATGCAACTCCGCCAAACTACTAGCGAGCAATTGATGATGCGACGCCGGTGTCCTGGATACCTGTCCCCATATCCACCCCGTCACCCATTACTCTCTCACTCCCCACCACCCTAATCTACATTATCTACCCTCTCTCTACCCTCTCCCTTCTTTTCCTTCTTGTTTTTCTCGGCGGCGAGCGAGGGGAGGAAGTGAGAAGGAAAAGGCCTTCTCAAAAGGCTCAGAAGCCTCCCCCCCTGCTGAGAAGTTTTCTACGCCTTCCCCGAAGACGCAGAAAACTTTTCAGAAGGCGCGAGGGCTTTTAAGAAGCCTCGCCGCCTTTTGAGAGGGCCTTCTCCTTCTCACTTCCCCCCCTCGCTCGCCGCCGAACATTACCTACCCCCTCCCTACCATCCCTCATCTTTCTCCTAATCAACCCCCTTCTTAGAATTACGAGGGGGGGGCTCGTGATTCACGTTGCCAAAGTACCTCTCACAGGCAAGTGTTCGAACGATCTCCGTCTGAGCTGACCCTACCTTCCTGCGGTCACACATCGCGGGCAACTGGCGGCTTAACAGAACAAGATCCTCCGAGATGGGGTTGGAGTAGATGGAAGGGGCCGCATCGCTGATACATCGGCGATACATCGGCCATGCATCGGTGATGCACCGGCGATGCATCGTCGACGTCGGGGATGCATCGGCGACGTCGACGTGAAGAAAATCGGGCTCCGACTCAACCGCATCGGCGATGCATCGGCAATGCGGCGCGATCCTCCGACCCCATCAAGTCGGACCCCATCTAGGAGGCCTGGACACATATGCCCGTCGCTCACCATGGCCGCCTACCATTACACTGTTGTGACCACCTGACACTATACGTAGGCTGTCCAGGTTACGTGCCCGCCGAGCAAGCGTCAATACGATTTCAGCGAGACGATAACAAGGAGGACGCACAGCGATATGTATGCTTTCTGCGCAAAGAGCCAAAGACGTTGACATTCTGCGTCTCTCGGGGCTGGCCTTCTTGACAGCGGCTCGAAACACACCGCCCGATCAACGTGCCAGCCAGCGGAACACTACTCGCTATGTGCAGACACGTCCTCCCGCGGCACTCGCCACGCGGAGTATGCTGAAATGCAGGAACGCGTTCGGTACCCCATGCAGCGCGCTGAGCCAAGAAAACAGCAGTAATTCATGGATGGCCCTGCCCGCGCGGCTCGCCAGCGAGGCATGCGGGCGGAGCCAGGCTGGCCTGGCGGGCG